CCCCAGGGAACGTCTGCCCACTACCCTGACCCTGTCCTACACGCTCCGAGACAGGGGCGGGCCCTGGCACAGAGGAAAGCGAAACTGCGGGCGATGGACGGAGTGAAGAGCCAGTCGGAAAACAGGGGGCGGGACCAAAGGAGCGAAGCTTCCAATCAGAAACCAAGCCGGGTGCTGGGGGGGCGGAGCCTGGGCTGGCGGGTGGAGCCACGGCCACCCAAGCCCTGCCCCGCTCCACCCTCATTGGACTTACCGCGTCGTGGTCCTCCTGTTCCTGCAGCTGTCGAGCGATGTAGCTGATCGAGGAGACGACCTCCCGCAGCTCGGGAGGCAGGCCCGCAGTCCGGTTTGGGCCATCGATAAACCGCCGCAAGTCCGGGGCAGACAGTTCAGGCTGGAACCTGGAAGAGGCGGGACAGTTTGGCCCCGCTCTAGGCTCCGTCCCAACTCCCTCCTCCAACACTCTTGTCCGTTTTCAAAACGTTGAGAGGGCCCTCCAGGCTCTCCCCGTCAGCGGCGACCTCTCCAGCCTTCCGCAATTCCTCCCATCCCTCTACGCCTTAGTTTCCGCCTTTCCGCAAAGTAGGCGGCAGAAGGGGGACTACAATTCCCATGATGCTCAAGAGCATCTTCCGGGACCTTAAGCCGCCTGCCTCTGCACGGCCTTCTGGGAACTGTAGTTCACGCTCTCCCTTCCTTGTAGGCTACGGGAAGTAGGTACTACCTGTTGGGTTTGGGGAAGAGGAAATCATTCGGTGGCTTCCGGATGAAATATTCATCTGTTCCTCGACCCCAGCCACTTGCTGGAGAATCCCTGAGGGCTACAGGAGGTGGCTCCGGCATCAGGTCTCTCTCAGGTTTGGGCCTCTTCAGACCCAGGTATGGAGGGAGTTTGTGGATGAAGATCTATTGAGTAGAAAGGCGTGTTGGGGGGACGGGGGGGGGGGGAGGGCCCTCATGCTTTCAGAAGGGAAGGGAAGCAGCCCGCCGTTCCCAACCACCTGCCCACCCCTGCGCATGCGTGCAGCGCAGCGAAGAAGTGCGACCACACAGCCTTAAGAGCTCTTAAGTGGGTTGGAGGCATCCTGACCCGAAAGCAGAGTTCCGAGGGTTTCCACCCTGATAGGACCTGACCTTGAGGATCTTTCCCTGCGACCCAGGCATGGGCGGGATTGATGAAGACAATACGGGATCTTCGACATGATAACCTCAGGAGGGTAAAATTAACTGTCCAACGTTTCAACACTCAACTGGCTTTGGCATTTGAACACTCTACCAGGGGGTGTGGTCGGCCCTCAGGTCTGTGAAGTTGGTAGGAGAGAGGGGTGGTACCCGCACAAAAAGCCAAATGCTAGGACTGAGACCTAACACTGGGTAGAGAAGGACGTCTTACCTGACGGACCCAAACGGGCATTTGGTGGGTGTGGGGTGAGCGATGGTGCAGGTTGAGGACTACGACGCTTAGGATGACCGAGAAAGTGACGAGCACCATGGTGAACATGAGGTACTTGATAATGATGGGGACAGACAGGGAGGTCTCAGGAACTTTGTCAGCCAGCAGCAGCAGGAACACAGTCAAGGTCAGCAGGGCAAAGATCGAGAGCCCCATCTTCTCTCCTTGCGGGGCAGAGAGGAAGGTGGAAGGATTAGGCTTTTCCAGAAGGCAATTTCCACGGCATAATCAGGGACCATGTTTCCAGCCCACTCAAGGACAGGCTTTGGGAAGGGCCAGCTGCACGCAGATGAGTCCCAAGATGATACCTCCAGCTCGGACTTACTCTCCTAAACTCCAGATTTACAGCCACCTGCCGATCAACCTCTCCACCTGGATGTCCAACAGACATCTCAAAGTTAGCATGTCCAAAACTTAATCCCTGGACCACCAACCCAACCCCTCCCACAACTCACATGTTTCCCCATTTCAGAAATGACAAATCCACGTTTCCCATGGCTCCCAGTCCTGCCCAACTCTCCTTCTCTCTTAACCCGTACCCAATCCACAGCAAACCCTACTGGCTCTCTCTTCAAAATATACCCATACAAAGTACCATCAGACCAAAGTCTGAATTATTATAAAGGCCTCCTGGGGGCACCCGGGTTGCTCAGTCGTGTAAGCGTCCGACTGCTGCTCAGGTCATGATCTCACCGTTGGTGACTTCGAGCCCCCCATCGGGCTCTCTGCTGTCAGCACAGAGCTACTTGCTTCAGATCCTTTGTGCCCCCTTTCTCTCCTACTCCACCACTCATGCCTGCTTTTTCTGTCTCTATCAAAAATAAATAAACATTGAAAAATAAAGAAATTTTTAAAAAACAGAAGGCTTCCTCTTTGCCTCATCCTCTTTGCCCCCGGCTGACTGTGTTTATCAGAGCCGCCAGATTGAGGCTGTTGAAATGTAAATCGGATCATATCCCTTCTCTTCTCAAAACCTTCCAGGGGCTTCTCATCTTCCTCGGCATGGTTGACAAGGCCTGCTGCTAAGTCTCTGATTTTCTCTTCTGCTGTTTTCCCTCTTGCTTACTTCATTCAGTTATTTTGGCTCCTTCTCAAATACGCAAGGCTCACTCCCACTTCAGAGTCTGGTACCTCCTCCCCCCAGATATCTGCCAGGGTCATTCTCAACCCCTTCCCTCTTTGTTCAAATACTGATCAGATATTTCCTTTTTAGTGAGGCATTGGCTGACCGTCCTATTCCTTAAGATTTTATTTTATTTATTTATTTTTTTAGACAGAGAGCATGAGCGGGAGGTGGGGAGAGAGAGGGAGGGAATCTTTTTTTATTTTTTTTTTAACATTTATTTATCATTGAGAGACAGAGCACGAGTAGGGGAGGGGCAGAGAGAGGGGGAGACACAGAATCTGAAGCAGGCTCCAGGCTCTGAGCTGTCAGCACAGAGCCAGACACGGGGCTCGAACTCACAAACCGTAAGATCATGACCTGCGCTGAAGTCGGACGCCCAACCGACTGAGCTACCCAGGCGCCCAAGAGGGAGGGAATCTTAAGCAGACTCTGTGCTCAGCTCCAAGAGCCCACCATGGGGCTCGATCCCATAACCCTGAGATCATGACCTGGGCTGAAATCAAGAGGTGGTCACTCATCTGACTGAGCCACCCAGGTGCCCCTTAAGATTTTAGAGTAATCTCTACACCCCACGTGGGGCTCGAACTCACGATCCCGAGATCAAGAGTCGCATGCTATACCGACTGAGCCAGCCAGGTGCCCCTGACCATTCTAGTTTAAATTGTAACCCCAGCCTCCATTCTCATCCTCCCTAACCCCTCTCCCTACTTTATTTTCCTCCTTAGGACTTGCCCTCTCCTAATATCCAACCTAATAGATTTATTTATTTTGTTTGTTGGCTGTTTCCCCACCAGAACATAAACTCCAGGAGGGCAGTGATTTTTGTCTCTTTTGTTCACTGACGTATCCCCAGTGCCTACCACGCTATAGATGCTCAACAAATATCACTGCATGAATGAATAGGCCAAGACGTGTAGCTTTTTTAAGGAACTAAATAGCAATTTGAAAGATCTAAAAATGAAACAAAGTACATAAGGATGTGCCAGGTGGCTGATTATCCCGGGGGGATGGGGGGGGCATACAACAGGCACCTCAAACTTTAAGGAAGGTATGGAAATAAATAACTTTCATGGTCTGCTCTACTTTAGTCCTATAATATTGGGTTCCAAGCTTGGCCTTGCTCTGGGAGGAAGGAGAAGTCACATTTGGAAGCATGTTCTTAGAGCTGGATCATTCTCCTTCCCTAGACGGAGAACTCAATGCCAGAGAGAAGGAAAAGCGTGCTTTAAATACCAGAGTTAAGGATTTCTGTCTGTGAATCAGGCTGGCGCTAACGCTCGCTGACTGCCTAATATCGGGTAAATGACTTAAAGTCTCTCAGCCTCTTTTGTACTCCTCTGTAAAATGGGAAGACAGTTCAGTACGTATCTCGCGGAGTTGGAAAGATTAGAATTGAGTTAATATACGTAACGTGTTCATTGTACTATTCTAGCAAGGCTCAAAACCAGTACAAATGATACCGGTGCTTACACAGAGCTTACTTGGTGCCAGGCACCATTCCATTAACTCAATTCTCAAAATAATCCTATCAGGTCAAGACAACGATTGTCCCCATTTCCAGATCAGGAGACTGAGACACGTCGAGAAGAAGGAATTTGCCCAAGCTTACTCTGCTGCCTCCTAGAGAAAGGTCACTATTATTTCCAAGGGGGTTAGGAGGCCAGGGGATGAGTAGGTGTCCGGAGCAAAGGAGAGTGAGGTGCGGCAGATATCAGGAATGGGAGACGGATGAGGGGCGAGTTGCCTAACCTCAGGAGCTTGCTGGACCCAAGGAGAAGCGCCAGGGATTCTGAAGGGAAGAGTTCAGAAGGTACTGGATGGAGAGAAGTGGGGAGGGTTGCGGGGCCCTTCCCTCCCTTACCAGCATCTGGAGGCAGGTAGAAGACGAAGATGGCCAAGAGAGTGATGAGGATGCATGGGGCAATGACATTGACCAGGTAGAAGAGAGGCTTCCGGCGAATGATGAGGTAGAAGGTGACTTCTTCCCGCTGCCCTTCCCTGCCTCTCCTCGGATCCACCGGAGGCTGGATTAGCCGAGAAGGCTTGTGGATAATTTCCCATTGGCCATTCTCTGGGAGGAGGGAGAGGGGAGAAGAGAAGATGAAGGGGACCTTACTGGTGCCACATATGGCTTGATCTGCCACATCCTAGCCCTCGGGTGGCTGATGTGATGAGGGGCCAGCTGTGGACACTGGGCCAGGCAGCCCATCTCTGACAAACTTGAACAAGTCTCAGTTTTCCGTATCTGTGAAGTGTAGATAGTCCATTGCCTTGCTGACCGCACAGGGCTGTCCCGGGCGTTGCTGATATTTATCAGCTGGTTAGAAACCGGGAAGCATAAAGCTCATGGACGCGGGAGCCACGCCCACTCACCAATGAACGTCCCTTCGTGAATGTACACTTCCTGCCGTTCTTGCTCGTCAGGACCCAAGGCCGTCTGCAGGCTGATCTCTGAGCTGTCGTAGCTATAGGAGCTGAACACCATGCTGCAGTTCTGCCAGTCGAAGGGGAAGTAGGTGACCTGGATGGAGGGGGGGGGGTGGGGCGGGGGTGGGGGGCGTCACCAGAGCTGCCAGAGAACTGTTCAGGGGGGTTAGGGGAGTTGGGAGGTCATTAGGGAGTCACAGACAAACTGGAAGGTTATTAGGGGAGGCCATGGCCAACGGAAGTGGGATCACTAAGAAAGCCTGGAAGTCAGGGACGGCGGCCAGAGGAGATGAAACACCGGAAAATCAGGCCACCTGGGTGGCTCAGTCGGTTAAGTGTCTGACTCTGGCTCAGGTCACTATCTTGCAGTTTGTGGGTTCCAGCCCCGCGTCAGGCTCTGTGCTGCCAGCTCAGAGCCTGGAGCCTGTTTCAGATTCTCTGTCTCCCCCTCTCTCTGCCCCTCCCCTGTTCACGCTGTCTCTCTCTCTCTCTCTCTCAGAAAATACATAAAACATTATAAAAAAAGAAATAACAGAAAATCAGGAGGAGGGGAGAGATGTGAGGGTTGTGGGCATAAGGGAGGAGGGAGGGGAGTCAGCATCTGGGAGAAGCAGGGTTTCTGTGAGCCCCGAGCTTCCCAGGGGGAGCCCGGGCACCTCGATGCTGCAGCTGCTGCGATAGAGGCCTGGAGGCTGCCACCGCACCGAGCCGTCGGAGGACACCACGACGTTCAAGTCCAGAGCAACGTCAAAATTTCCGTCGTTGCTGCGGGGCAGGAGTCTTCTCAGCCGCTGGGCTCAGGCCCCGCCCCCCGGAGACCCCGCCCACCTCCCGGTCTGTGGGAAGGGGCCTACTTGTTTAGCAGCACCACATCTGGTAGCCACACGGATGCAGCCGCGATGCGCAGTGAATCGATGCCCTCGTGCTCTGCGGGGTCCCAGCTCAGCCTGTAGTCAGTCCACCCCTGTGGAAGCGGAGGCCGAGGGGCTGTCTGGGGCTGGTGGCTGGGAAGGGACTGGGGATGACCGAAGTAAGCCGGGAAGGGAGAGCCAGGGAAGGGAGCCGGCAGGCAGGGACTGTGGTTCTGGAAGTCGGGGTTCTGATCCCAGCTGCACCTTTACCGGCTGGGACCCCATCAGCTAATTTCCCCTTCCCCCACTGAGGAGGTGGCACTAGCTAGCCACTAAAACGGTGTTTTTCAAACTACAGTGGGCCACCCTTCAGCGGGTCTGGAATCAAATTAGTGGCCCCTGGGGTGCCTGGGTGGCTCAGGTCCTGATCTCACAGTTCGTGAGTTCGAGCACACACACCCCGCCCCCGTCAGGCTCTGCGCTGGCAGCTCGGAGCCTGGAGCCTGCTTTGGATTCTCTCTCTCTCTCTGCCCCTCCCCTGCTTGCGACGCGCTCTCTCTCTCTCTCTCAAAAATAAATAAATCAGGGGCCCCAAAACAGAGTTTAAAAAAATTAGAATAAGAAATGCATGAAATGCAACTCTCATAGTAAATGTAGGTACTGTTTCCGGAAGCTTCCCTCTGGGTCATGTGCTCTGAGGTGATGCTTAGAAATACACTTAACTGAGCGGGACGTTGGAGGCAATGGTAAAGGCAGCGGGACGCCCTTTCCCACCCCATGGGGTCTCCGTACCAGGTCTAAGTACACCTTTGTGCTCATCTCCTCATCCTTCTCGTTCTAGAAGGGAAAAGTTCAAGGGTAGAAGTGACGTGAATAGAGAGAAAGGAAGGCGCTCGGCGGGTCAAGCTCTCGCTGGAAACTCCTCTTTCGGAGTCCCACTCGCCTGGGCCCGAGCCCCGCCTCCCAGACGTTGCACTGGTTCAAGCCCCGCCTCTATCTCGGAAACTTCCGGCCAGCTCCGCGGCCGGCCTGTCCGTCTACCAATTCGCCCACCCCGGCCCCACCCACCGCTTGCAGTTCACCCAACCCTGCGTCTCCGGCCGCTGTGGTCTCTCGACCCCGTCCCGGCACCAAGCTCCGCCCCAGCCTGCGACCCCGCCTTGAGGCCCGCCCCCAACCCGGGCCTGCCCGGCAGCCACGCCCACAGCCTGTCCATTGGTCCGACTTCGACCCAATCTCGGCTCACGGGCCGTCCGTCTCCCGGCCTGGCCACGCCCCCCCGCCGGTCGGCACGTCGGACCGCGGCCCCCGCGTGCGCGCTCACCAGGCTGATGAGTTGCGCCAGGCTGAGGCCGATGCGGACCGCGACACGGTCTCCCACCTCCCGCGCCGGCCGCACCGAGCTATCGTAGCCGGAGAAAAGCTTCTCGAGGAGCCGGCCCTCTGCCTCCGAGCCGCGGGCGCCTGGAAGAGGAGGGCACTACGTGACGCCACCGTGCCCTGCCACGACCCCTGGCCCTGTCACTGCCCCTCTGAGGCCCGCACTTACCCGGGGCGAGCGGCGCCCCCAGCGCCCCCAGCAGCAGCAGCAGCGCCCCTGGGGTCATAGCCCGGCCGCTTGCTCCCCGAGTTCGCTCCGCTCGCCAGCGCGGGGGAAGTGACGAGGCGCCCAGGAATGCGCACCTGTTGTTGGGGGCAGCCGCCAGCCCACCCGCCCCGCCCCTGGGACTTGGTCCCGCCCCAGGCAACTGCCAATGCCCGCCACCCACAGATGACAGACAACGTATACATCGTTGTATAAATCGGCTTTAATTGAGAAAGCATGGAGGGGAGGCCCTGTCCCCTGGGAGCGGAGCCAGCAGACGGCTGGAGCCTGAGCGGGGTCTGTGTGGGTGAGCGGAATATGCACCCCTCTTGCAAGGAGCCAGAAATAGAAAGAGCCTGAGGAAAAGTGACCAGCCTCTGAGCCCCAGCCCCTCCCTTTAGGGTCCTCTCTTTCTACCCTGCGCAGGTCCGAGGCTACCCAGAAAGTCCCTCCTAGTCACTGGTGGGTTCCTGATCTTTTTTTTCAGACCCGCCCCAAGCTCTCCACGCTTTTTGGGGAAAGCTAGTCAGCCCCTTTTTGGGTCCCTAATACCGAGCTGAGGTTATAAGCTGTAAGTTAAGCAAGTTCTATCCAGTTAGAAGCTCTGGGAGTATATGAGGTCTAGAGCCCGAGAGGCCCTCGCCCTCCTTGGCCTGATTTATAGAGGAGAGGGGTGGACTTATTGCTGAGTTGGGGGTCTCTGCACAGGGGGCGGGGATCAAGGCTCTGTCCCTCCTCTTATCGTTTTTATTCTAGACTCATGACCGTAAGGCTCTGTCCCTCCTCTTATCGTTTTTATTCTAGACTCATGACCGTAAAGACCTCAGCTTTAAAGGGGACCTGGAAGGAATTCCTGCTGAGGTAGCTAAGTGTTCATGTCCCCCACCCCCAACCCAAGCACAGCCCAAACATGCCATGGTTTTGGCCCCCTGCCCATCCCAACTTCTCTACTATGTAGAGCCAAGGACGTCTGCCCAAACTCCTCTGCCCTCCCTCAGCCTCTGTTTCCCCGGCAGGGCCTCAGCTGAGTTGCAGAGGCTAGAAAAGTGCAGGTATAAATAAGGTTAGCATTCTATACGAAGAATCAGATTTTTAGAAAACCTAGGAAAAAAGTGTTTCCTGATTCCGCTGAGAAACACGTTACTAGAGGAGATAGGAGGGTGGGTCTAGAATTTCCTCTACAGGAGCATTAATATGGCTATTCAGGCCTCGCTTCCATCCTGGAGGAAAGGGCTGAGTCCTGGTCTACGTCCTAGAGCCGAGATTCAGGAGAAAGTACGGCTCCGTGTGCGTCTAGAACACCACGCTCCAGCAGTGGCTGTCTTTGGGGTAAGAAAGTTAAAACTGTGGTGTTCTGAGCCTGCTCCTAGCTCAGGCCAAGGCCAGCAGCTGGACGGGGCTCGAGCCCAGCCTCTCTCCACTTAACCAGGGGTCCCTCTGGGTTGAGGACAAAAGCCTGATGGATCCAGAACAGAGCCTGAGTGCAAAAAGGGCCCTGGCTAGGGTGCCCGATGTTCCAGAACCCGTCCAGAACGAGGCAGAAGGCGGAGTAGGGAAAAAAAGGAAGCTAATCCTGAACTCCAGGAGACCTATAAATCTATAGCTCAGTGGCAACGAAAAGAGCACAGGGCTCAGGAACTGGCTGAGCCCAGGGTGGGGAGTACCTATGTCTTGCTTCTGTCACTTTGGGAATCCCAGCGCCTTCGGGGGGAAAGGCTTTGGGGGGGGGTGTGAGTGGGGAAGGAAAGAAGGGAGCAGCCAGGGCCGTTTGCAGCCTCTCCCTCTCTGAACTCCCAGGCCTGGGGAACGGGAAGCCTGGGGAGTCGCAGGCAGGCCCCTGGCTCCCTCGGGATCGAGCACCTGATGGGGCCTGGGCTGCTCAGGGCAGGAGTGTGGCGGCAGGGGTGAGGGCAGGGGAGCAGGGCTGGGAGACAGGCTGTGGCCGTGGCCGGCTCGGTGCACGTGCGGGGAGCCTCCAGTCCACGGGCTACATTTCAGGGGGCAGGGGGACTGGAAGGGGCGGTCTCAGGGACACTGTGGAGAGAAGGCTCCCGGTACATGGCCACTGCGAAGGGGAGAGAGAGGAGCAGGAAGGACAGTTAGGCCCCGAGAGACCTGGGAAGGATCGGACCTCTCAGAGTGCTCCCACCCCCTCCGCCCATCCTCCGGGAACCGCAACCCACAGCAGGAGGGCTCCCCAAACTCCCAGAGGCCGGAGCCTTCCCGGTTTGACCCGTCATAACAGGTGTCCCGTTTACCACTTGCAGCAGCTGAGCTGTGTGTCCCTCAGTGTCCACACCAAGGCCAGCGCCCTCCCACTCACCTTTTCTTGAGTCCATACTCACCTTCCAGGAGCTTGGGCACAAAGTGGGCCGCCGCCTTGGTCTTCTTGACTCGATTTCCCTTCATGACCCGGCCCTCCTTGTCCAGGCCCAGGTACCAGGCCCGGCCAGAGCGGCGCTGGCGGTAGAGAGCAGAGGCGTACAGGACGTAGTAATTCTCGAAGACGCATTCCTTAAAGCGACACTCGGCTGTGAAATGCGGCTGAGGCGACAAAGAGGCAGAAAGGCACACACGGACAGATGAAAAGGCTTCTCACTGGACGGAAGGGAGCCCTGAGAACCGACCAGGGGGCGCCTGGGGGGCTCAGTCCATTGAGCATCCCACTGGGGCTCTGGTCGGATCTCACAGCTTGTGGGTTCGAGCCCCGGATCGGGCTCTGTGCTGACAGCTCGGAGCCTGGAGGCTTCAGATTCTGTGTCTCCCTCTCTCTCTGTCCCCCTCTTGCTCATGCGCTGTCTCTCTCTCTCTCTCAAAAATAAGTAAATATTAAAAAAAGTTAAAAAAGGGGCGCCTGGGTGGCTTAGTCGGTTAAGCGTCCGACTTTCGCTTAGGTCATGATCTCGCGGTTCGTGGGTTCAAGACCCGCATCGGGCTCTGTGCTGACTGCCAGCTCAGAACCTGGAGCCTGTTTCAGTCTGTGACTCCCTCTCTCTCTGACCCTCCCCTGCTCACGCTGTCTCTCTCTCTCTCTCTCCTAGAAATAAATAAAACATTAAAAGAAAAAAAGACCCAGCCAGGATATAACCCATGTGTGTCGGGCCGGAGAGCCTACGTCTTACTCCATGCAGAAACTAGCAGTAAGGGGAATGAGGGAGCCGCTGGTCGCCCCTGAGGGTTAGAAACTGGACTGGGGGTGGGTGGGGCCTGGAATAAGAAGATACCTTCTCTCCACTCTCCATCCATCCCCGAAAGGCTGGAAGAGTTGGGCAAAGAGCTGGTGGTTCTTGGGGGGCTACACGGACAGCAGGGATCGGAGGGGCCCCAGAGGAGGTGCTCTGGAGTGGCCAGTAAGGAGAGGACATCAGCGGGAGCTGGAGGGCGGGGGGAGTCCTGAGCTGCAAAGTACGTGTAGTCGCGCAGGCGGTAGCTGGGGAGCCCTAGCAGGGGCGGGAACCCCAGGCCACTGGGCCCCGGTGTCTCACCGAGCTGTAGAGCAGCCCCTCGGCGTTCATGGCCATGTAGTGACCCAGCCTGGCACTCTGGATGGTGACCACACGGAGCCCCACGGGGATCAGGTTGAAGTGGGCTGGGGGGGGAGAGAGGGCGCGTCAGTGTCCTGGGCCTCAGACCCCCATCCCGCACCCCTGCTTCCCTTGGGGTGTGCGGGGGGGTCAGAGAGCCAGACCCAGGACAACAGCAGCCGAAGCAGGCCCAGGAGGGTCACCTCAGAGCCCCGTGCTCCCTCCTCCCACCCGCAGCTGGCTTCCCCTCTCACTGAAAGAGCTGGTGTCCTCTGGGGTGCCCTGGATGCTCCCATCAGGATTCGCCTGAAGGTAGAAACCCTGGCGGCAGAACAATTTGGTGACGATGCCTTTGAGCTGAGGCTCTGGAGAGAGAGACATTCATCTTTGAAAATGACATCTCTGTTCCCAGAAACATTCCTCCACTTGGCGGGATCAGAGGAAAGAAGGAAGGGAGAATGGAGGGGAGGAAGACGGCCCCAGGGCCCCAGCCCTCAGCCCCTCCGAGCAAGCTCTCTGCCGCCTCGCTTTGACTCGGGAGGAAGCTGGGGTGTGGGGCCCTTCTGCTTCCTCTAACCCCCAGCTTTCTGTTTAATTTATTGAAATTTATTTAAATGGCTTAATTCCTACCCTACAGCTCAACCACCAGTGGGGGAGGGGAGAAAGGAAGGGAGATCCAGCAAAAGGCGGAGGAAGGAGGGAGCCAGGCTGGACTGCTGGGGGGCGGGGGCGGTGTGTTGGTGGCTGTGGGGGGCGGCCAGGTGACCACGGGGTAGGGGCGCCCCCTCGGGAGTGGGGGTGGGGCTGGGCCTGACGCTGACTCAGCACCTGCTGCTGCGGCTGCCGCTCGCTTGGCGCGGGCCTCGCCTTGGCCGGGTGCCGGCCTGTCTGACACTGACCCATCTGTCTGTCTGTCTGTCTGTCTGTCTGTCAGTCTGCTGGTTCGCGGGGGCCCAGCCCTCCCCGAGGCTCAGCCTCTCCCCTTCGGCCAGGTAACCCGCCTGAGGTGGGGGACATTCGGTACCAAAGCGAGGAACCCGGGGAAGGGGGCCGAGGAGCTGGCGAGGCAGGCGGAGTCACGTGGGGGCCGGGTCCCACTCGGAGGGTGGGCTGCGGACCGTACCATGCGGAGGACGGGCGGCGGGGGGAGGGGGCCCGAGGGGCTCCCCCCGGGGAAGCCGGGAGCCGGCGGGAGCGGGGCCCGAGGGCCTCCCGCCAGCCGTGCCTGGACGGGGACCACGCGCTGACCCTCACAACTCTCCTTCCCCCCGTCGCTTGCGCTCGGCCGGCTTCCCCGGACCCCGTTGCAGGTGGTACGACCCCCCCGTCTCCCAGCGGGTCTCCAGCCCGGTCCTGGGTCCGAGCTGCTCGCGGCAGAGGGTCCGCCGAGCGTGTGGGAGCCCCTTTCGGAGCCGCGCAGGGAGAAATGTGGGGGAGGGGAGGCCGGCTCCCCTCTCGAAGCGCAGGTCACGGAGGAGGGCGCACAGAGGGGCGGGCTGGCGAGGTAGCTGCAAGGACACCCGGGGGAGAGCTGGGGAGATTGGCGCCGCGCCAGGCCCGCTCGGCCAGCGGGAACGCGGCCAAGGCGTGGAGGAGCGGGGGAGCCGGGGCGGGGGCGGGGCTGCCGGAGCTGCAGAAACCCTCGGGGTGACCCAGGCGTCCGGAACACCCCCCCCCCTCCCCCGGCCCCTCCGCTCCGGATTGAAAGAATCGCGAGAGCCGGCACGTAGGCGGCGGACGGTGGGGGTGGGGACTCCTGTGTTGGGGGGGAGCAGTGGGGGGCCGAGCCGGAGCTGCGAGGCTTCGGAGCGCCAGACCTAGCCCCTCAAGCCTTCCCCTTGCCCTCGACAGCAAGGAGACTCGGGGTTATGGGCCAAAGGGAAGGGAAACTGAGGCACGATCTGGCCCGGGCTGTGTCGTCCTGGCCCAGCCCACCTCTTACTTTCGGGGAGCCCCCCTCGGTCGGGCCCCATCCTCCAGCGCCCCTGGCCTCAACCTCCCAGGCCCGGAGACCCCGCTCCAGCCACTCACCAGGGCCGCGGTCCGGCCGCTCGGGCCGCCCCCCGCACAGTCGCACCTTGGACAGAAGGATGACGAGCTGCTTCTGGCAAAGGGACTTGGTGCCGCGGGGACACACGCGCCGCTGCGCCGACACCGGCCGGCTGCCCCCAGGCTCGCGGACCTCCCGCTTCTGCCGGATCAGGCTACTGGCCAGGGCCGCCATGGCGCCCCGGGAGGAGACACCCCCAAACCTGCCGGCGCCCGGAGCCCGCTCACCGGGGCATGCTCTTGACGCCGGGGTCCCAACTCACCGCCCCACCCACTGGACCTGAGGAGAAGCCCCAGGCCCCCCTGCGCCTCGGCCGCCAGCTCCCACCCTTGCGCCCTGTGCTAGTCCCTCTGGACCCAGCAGCCCATGTATCTCTGTTGACCCCACCCTCGACTTTTGCCCCCTTACTGAAAACTACCCCCTTCCCTGTTCTCCAGCGCCCCTGCTCCCTCTTCTCTTATCCCAAAGTCAAGACCCTCAAAATTTCCAAGATGTGGTTCCAGTACTCCCCAGGCACCTTTCCACCTTATTCTGGGGACCCGCACTCTTGCCGGATCCACTCTTGCAATCTAAGGGTGTGGGTCCTTAGCTTTGACTCATCCCCACTGGGGCACGGCCAATGTCAGGGAGGAACCCAACCTTGGTGCCTTTGCCACCTTCTGAGTGGGTCCCCCCACTTTTTTCCAGTGAAGTCCCCCAAAACTATGTCTGGGGAAACCCAGGCTATCCCCTGCTTAGCGGTTAGGGGTTCCCAGACCCTGTCTCTGGACAATTCCTTTTTTTCACCAAGTCACCCCCATTTCTGGTGGTACATGGTTCCCAGCCGCTGAGCCCCCTTCCTCACCTTGTTACCCCCCACTCCTTTTGAAGTCACGTCCAAATCCACCCTTCCTGGCGGATACACCAGGTAGGTGGTTGTCTGGAGGGCCTCTGTCACCTCGAAATAGGGAGCATCCGGTTTGGGTTTTTTTTTTTTTTTTTCTGGTTGCCCCTTAATTTCCTCGGGGACAGCTGGTGCTTGTTTAGATCCCACGCCCTCCAATCCAACCAGCCCCCCGAGAGGAGTGCACCCACGTTACCACCAGTCCCCAAATGTGAACAGGCTCCCTACAAGACGGGGCGCATCAGAGCTTTCTGCGACAGGGCTTCCCCGGGACAGCCTAGAGCACCCCCTCTTCCTTCCCCGACGCCCCTCAACCTGTCCTGTCTTGTTGATCCGGCGACGGGTGGCTCTGGCTCCGGTTCCAGGCTCCTCCCTCCCAGTCCCTCGCCAGCGGAGCCTCCCCCCACGCCGGGCTAGGCGCCCCGGACCCCCAGGAAGGAGGGAGGGTGTCTCCGCAGAGCGCCCTGGTCCGGCCAAGTCAGAGCACCGGGCCTGGCGGCTGGACCCAGCAGAGTGGCGGTGGCGGCGGCGGCGGCGGCGGCAGCGGCAGTGGGGAGCTGAGGCGGCGGCGGCGACAGCGGCTCCCCCTCCTCCGAGAGCCGGCCCGGGGGCGGGGCAGGGGGCGGAGACGCCGGGAACGAGGGGGGTGAAGCTGGGCGGGCGGAACCCCGGGGTTCCTCGGAGGCAGGGAGTGGGGACGGTCCCAGAGGCAGGCGGGGCCGAGGCAAGGCCGCACGTCTTTGGGGTTCAGAGGAGGAGGGGCAAGGAGGTGACTCTACTGAGCGGAACCCTGGATGGGAGGAGAGGTTGGGCTTAAGATGGATGGAATGGCGGACGCTGGGAGAATGGAGAAGGGGGACCCCGCTGCCCCGGACGGGAGGACAGAACTGAAGGAGGAAAGTAGGGGAGGAACGGAGTGGATAGAGGGGGTGGTGAGGTCTAGCCTGGGGCCGGAACCGGGCCTTTTAATCTCCGCGTTTGTGGGAGCCAAACTGGTCAGTCCCTGGCCTCCATGCCTTCTTTCTGCGTTTTGTCAGCAAATAATACGCACCCCCCTTCCCCATTGACTCCCTAAGAGAAAGGACCGCAAGAATTGGGGGAGATGGTTGCCTGAGGATGCGCCGGGCGGGGAGGGGTGCTGGCCGCAGATCTGGGGAGCAGAGAGGCCGGAAGTGGGACGACCACAGGTCAGGCCCGGGGACGGGGCAGGAGGCTGCGGAACGACCCGCGAGGAGACCTCCTAGACTGTGATCTCCGGGCCCAGGACCCCCAGCCTGTCTCCCAGGCGAGGGGGCCGGCGGCCCCCGCCACACCCCGCTAGCCGACAGAAGCACTTTCCACGCGGGTAGGAGCAGCGTCTTTAATGGGCCGCGCCTCCCACGCCCGCCAAGCCGCCCCCCTTGCGCGCAGCCTTGGCCTCCTCCACCGCGGCGCGCAGGGCCCCAGCGGGGTCCCCGCGGAGCCTGGCCAACGCCCCGAGCAGCCCGGCGGCGCCATCCCCCGCGCGGAGCTTTCGGCCGCTCAGGAAATAGTGGGGCAGCGTCCCGGCCTCGAGCACACGGCCCAGCTCATCCAGCAGCCCGAGGCAGCAGGCGCCCGCGTTCTCCGGCCGCGCGAGATAGAGCGCGGGCAGCCGCTCGCACGCCCAGTAGAGCAGCGTCCGCAGGAGGTAGGGCGCCGCGGCCCGGGTCCCGGCCACCAGCGGGCGCAGCAGCGCCTGGGCCGCCGCGTGCGCCTGCAGCAGCGGAGCCGGTATGCGCGCCTTGAGCGCCAGCTCCTGGCGGGCGAAGCAGAGCTGCCAGCCGCAGGCGCCTGGCTGCTCGGTGTGGCCGCCGGGCACCAGGTAGAAGGATGGCGACTCGGAGGCCAGCGGGCCGGCCCACGAGTGGCTCCGAGCACCCTCAGGCCAGCCGGCCACGGACACCACGGGAACCAGGTCGAAGAGCAGGAGGTGGCGCGGCGGCTCCGGCGTCGCCAGCAGGACGGTGGTGAAGCCCGCGTGGCGGGCTGCGTGGACCAAGCGCGGGGCACCGGGGACCGGGAACAGGGACTCGGCGACCGCGGCCAGGGAAGCGAAGAACCACGCAGCCACCTGGGCGGGGCAAAGGGTGGGCCATGCCTCCCGCCCCTCGCTCTGCTGCGGGCCCGGGCTGACGACGGCCGCTTTCGTGACGTCGCCGGTCAGGTTTCCCAGTGGGGTGGAAGAGCCGAGATCGACTACGCCTTGCCCAGGCGGCTCCAGCCCGGAAACGTTACTAGGTGATTTTTCCAAAGACACGTCTGGATCAGGCTCAGTGACAGAATCGTGCGGCTGCTCCCCGGAGCTTGGCCGGCCCTTGGGACTTCCTTCGCTTTGGGGGCGGTGGCCGGAGTCACGTCCTCCCCGTACCGGAGGTCCCAGGCAATCTTGCCAAGCCTCCCGGACCGCGGTTCCGCGTATGCGCTCGGGGAGGCACAGCCGCGCGTAACAGGATCCCACGTCCAGTTGCAGCTCCCGCCCGGTGCCGTCTAGCGAAAACACCGGCACCAGGAGTGTAAAGCCGGCGTCGTAATGAGGTCCCCGGACGTAGGGACCTAAGGGTGCGGGTCCCAGGTCCAGGGAGCCCTCGCGAATCCCACCACGAAGGAGCAAGAGCTCCGCTTGCGGAGGAAAGCGGGGGTCCCGGCGGTGAACATGACCTACAAGAAAAGACAGGATCGAGAGGGCACGACCCAAAGCCCGGGCGGGGCGGGGCGGGACTGAAAGCTGCGAGTACCCGAAGGCAGGGAGAGCTGCTTACCCAGCAAAGAGAAAACAAAGTCCTTGGCCCGGAGGAGGTCTGGCCCCGGCTTGGGCGCGTCACTCCAGCTTTCCTGCACACCCAGCTCCTGGATCAGCTGGGTCAGTTCCTGCAGCTGCGCCCCAGAGCAAAAGTCGATGTCCGTGAGCGGCCGGGCGGGGGCTGGGGGCGGCGGGCCCCACCAGGGCGCGCTCCCCCAGACCGCGGAAGCCATGTGGCTCGATCGTTTGGGGCTAGGGGCCAACACGGACGGGAGGAAGCTTGGACGGGCCGTTCCTTTGCTGCCAAAAAGTCGCCCGCGTTCTTCTCGCTTCCCCAGGCCGAGAGAGAGAGAGAGAGAGAGAGAGAGAGAGAGAGGGGGAGCCCAAGCACAATTCGTCAATGGGTCTGCAGATGGAGGGCTCTAAATTTAGTCTTGAAAACAAACCAATAAATGCCTCCTCCGTCGTAGCCCTTTTCTCACATGCTGGTCCCCGCCCCCCATGGAGCCGCTCACCTGACTCAGCAGGTAAATAGTAGCTGTTAGGCCCCTCCTCCGGGATGAAATAGCTAGTCTGCCCTTTGTCTGCCTCCACTTACCTATTTTTCGGAGGAGGGTTGGGGTGCGGCTTCGCTCTCGGGGACAGCTGCAAGGGCTGGGAAGGCGATGGATGGGACGGTTCAACAGGTGTCTTCTTCCTGTAGCCTCAGGCCACGCCCCCCGGTGGGGCCACGCCCCCTCTGGCGGCCGCCCCGTAGTTCCCGGCCCGCCCCGCCTCCAGCCGGAGTTCAGTCCCTCTTCCCTCTGCTGAGATCTCGCGCTGTCCCGGGGCTTGTAGTTTGGCGGCCGAGCTATCAGGGCGTTAGGGCCACGCCCCCACATCCTTTCCTGTTCCGCTGAAGTAGTGCCTGATGGAAGTTGTAGTTTCTTTATTATTATATATTTTTTTAATGTTTTATTTATTTCCGAGAGAGAGAGAGACAGCATGAGCAGGGGAGGGTCAGAGAGGGGGAGATACAGAATCTGAAACAGGCTCCAGGCTCCGAGCTGGCTGTCAGCAGAAGGCCCGACGCGGGGCTCGAACCCACGAACCGTGAGACCATGACCTGAACCGAAGTCGGACCCTTAACCGACTGAGCCACCTGGGTGCCCCCTTAACTGCATTTGAGAGATGAGACTGCAGCCCCCGAAGGTTGCCCGTGGTAGAGCTGAGCCAGAGAGGTGTCGGAAAAGGGTTCGCAGCTGGGTGGAGAGGCACCTCTTTGGAGTCAGGGGTAAGCAGGAACACACAGGCGGTGACCCAGCAATCAACCTGTGGCTCAGGGAAGGGACATACGTGTTAGTGATGCCCACCTCGGACACGAGTGAGGGCAGGGAAGACACTTTGGCACCTACCAGCTCCTGTCTACACGGAAGAGTTATCAGGACCCAAAATCAAGTCCAGAGGAAAATCCCAGCTGGGCTGAGGCAGGGCAAGGGGAAATGGTCAGGAGAAGGAAATTGCTTTCCGTTACCACGGCTACCAGAGGCACAGCGTAGGTCCCGGATGAGATCAGGAGCCACAAGAAACCAGGGAGAGGCTCACAGATCAGACCAACCCAGGGCTGCACCAGGCTGTCTCACGTGCCCTTCCGCCCCCGGGAGTGGGTCTAAAGTGAGATGAACCTGAGTCAATGCAAGAGAAAGAAGCAGAGACACGGAGAAAAGTTATAGTGGCCCGTGAAGGAGGGGACTCAGAACCCAGAGCTCAATTTGGGGAGCCCAGAAATCCGGGATTCCTAGTCACTGGCAAAGAGAACCCTTCTGCCCCAGCTACCTTGAGCCCCTAAACACACCCCAGAACTGGGGAGGCAGTTTCCCATATATCTGGTTGCGACCCAAGAGAGCAGATTGAGAAAACTGAGGACCAGGCTCTTTCTCACAGTCTGGGGTGATCAGGCAAAGGGCATCCCTACATCTCCGCTCCTCCCCGGAGGGTGGCCTCTCCATCACACTACAAACAAACAAACAAACAAACAAAACTAAGTTCTCTGGGCTCCGTAGGAGCTTTGAAGATGGAGGGCTTGGGTGCCTAGGGAAAGGAAAAGTTTCTCTAAACTCTGAATAAAGCACTGCCATCCGACAGGATTATCTGTGCTGGTAGAAATGTCCTACATCTGTGCTGTCCAACATAGTAGCCGCACATGGCTACTGAGTCCTTGAAATGTAGATGCTGAGACTGAGGAACAGGATTTAAATTTTTTTTTTCCATTTTTTTAAAGTAGGGGACTTGAACTCATGACCCTGAGATCAAGAGTTACGTGCTCTACCATGCCAGGCGCCCCTAAATTTTACTTAAGCTTAATTAAATTACACTATAACAGCCATATTTGGCTAGTGGCTAATGTATTGGACAGCGCAGCTCGAGGGCCTGGGGGGTGATGGATCTCGCTGCGCAGTGATGCGGGTGCACAGCAGGGCTAGTACCAGCCTTCATCAGGCCCCGTGGCTGGCCAGCGTCCGGAAGGGGGCTGGGGTGCGCGTCTTCAAACAACCACAGAACACTCGTCTTGCCTCTTTATTCCTGATGCACCCTCGCCCCCTCTTTTTCCAGAGTCCTCGTTGCATTCTGATACCCCCACTCCCTGACGGCCTCCGGTGAATTGCTGCGTGCCTCTTGGCGAATGCGCCTGGGAGACAGAGCTTCACACTTGTCCCTGCCCAGCTGTCTTTGGCGGGCATCAAAGACCACGTGCCCGACCCGGGTGCCCAACCCAGGACAGTAGGACTTCCCGTTGGTTTTGGGAGGCATAGACATCTGGCGATAGGACTGACAAGCTGAAGGGGTGGCGTCCACAGGACGATACACCCAGTCTTGGCTGCCTGCTCGCCGGGACGATGGCTGCAGCTCGATTAGTACGGGCACCTCTGAGAAGGCGTGCAGGTCACCGTAGATCACCTGGGGCTTGGAAGAGTAGGAGTTCTGAGCATGTGGAACAGGAGTCCAAGATACGTGCTGCTCTGGACCCTCCCTCTGAGGAGCCTGCTCGGGTACAAAGGACTTTATCAAGGACAGTGTTGACTTTGGGGTCTGAGGTAGGCCTGAGAACTGGACAGAGTCAATATCTAGAACAAGGCTTGGGTGCTTGTGGTGGTCGGGATTTGGGGTAAGGCATGACTCCTTGCGGAGGCCCGATTCTCCAGTAAGGCTTTGAGTCCTGGGGAGGCCATGGTCTTGGGTAAGGGCTGGGCACTTGTGGGGGCCAGGATCTTGATGGATTCCTGGGTGCTTGTGGAATTTAGGGTCTTGAGTGTATTCTGGGTTCTTGCGAATGCCAACATCTTGTGTATGGCTACATCTCCTTTTGACTTCAGTGGCTTGTGTGAGGCCTGGATTCTTATGGAGATCAGAATCTTGAGTAAGGCCTAGGATTCTGTAGACGCCAGAATCTTGAGGAAGGCCTGGGTTCTTGTAGTCTCCGGAGTCTGGGGTAAGGCCTGAGCCCTTATGAAGCCCAGAGGCTTGGACCAAGTCTGGGCTCTTGTTGACTCCAGAGTCTTGGACAAGGAATGGGGTCTTATGTGAGCAAGAATCTTGGGGAAGGCCAAGTCTCCTAGAGACTCCTGGCTCATTGGCCTTACCTGTACTTTTATGACCTCCAGAATCTGGAGAAGAGCCTGGGCTATTATGGAGGCCAGTTGTTTGAGAGCAATTTTGACTTTTATAGAATATAGCCTCTTGGTTTTGTTCTAGATTCCTATAGACTCCAGTGTTCTGCATAAAGCCTGAGCGCCTCTGAATGTCAGACGTTTGGGGAAATGGTGTGTTTTTGGGGAGGCCAGGAGGTTGGGGGAGACATGAGCTCCTAAAGATACCTCCATCTTGAATAGGACCTGGGCTCTTTTGGGGGCCAGAATCTTGGGTAAAGACTAGATTCTTGGGAAGCACAGAACCTTGGGAAGGGCTTAGACTCTTGTAGAGATGAGGGTCTTGGGGAAAGCCTGGAGGCTTGTTCAGGCCTGAATCTTGAACAAGGCCAGGGTTCTGGTAGAGGCCTGGATTTGGGGCAAGGCCTGGGTTCCTGGGAACTCTTGAGTCTTTGGAAGGGATTAGAGTCCTTTGGAGGTCAGAGTTTTGGTTGAGGCCCAGACTCTCATGAAGTTCAGGGGCCGGGGGTTGGATTGGAGGATGGAACGTCTTGGAGAGCTGGAGAGGGATGGGAAACTGGGAAGAGGGGGCGGACGGAGAAGACTTGGAGGTTGGGGGATTCTGGTGGTTGGAGGGTTGATGGAGGACAAAGGATTTGGGAAGCATAAGAGGCAGAGACAGAGTGCACGGTGGAGGAATAGCGCTCAGTGGGCTCTGGCCACCGGTTGGAGAATGAACACAAGGTTGTGAAGGGGTAGCATCCTTGGAGTAGACCACGAACTTGGGGTAGACTGGAGTCTGGGAGTCTGTGTGTTTCTTCTCAGAACTGCAGGGACGGAAGATGCAATAAGGGAAGGCCTTGGGCTGTAAGAACTTATCTTTGGCGTCATTTGAGGTCTTCCATTCTATGTTCCCCAACTCCAGGTAACCCAGTATGGATCCCGCGGAGGGCTTGGCGCTGTCCCCGCTATGTTGCTTTGGTGTTTGCTCGGCTGCACCAAAGCTGCCCGGACCCTGCCCCTCTTGGGGCCTGGGGAGGGTCCCCAAGTCCTTTCTGGAATACCCAGAGTTCTGGGGGGGACACACATTGCATAAGTTCTGCTTTGCCCTGCGGGCATCGTAGACCACGTGGCCAGTGGGGAGGCCTTGGCTGAAGGCAGTCAGTGAGGAGGGAATAGGAGGGAGGATGGGGGTAGGTATGGTGGCAGAGAGAGAGATAGGAACAGGGATAGGAGCGGTAGTCAGGGTCATGACCAGAGCTGAGGTTGGGACAGACATTGAGGCGGGGGTAGAAGTTGGGGGAGGTGCTGGGGCAGAGGTATAGGTTACACGAGCGTGGGCTATTACGTGCTCAGGGCTGCGACCCGCAGAATGGGCTGAGGTGGGCTCAGGGGCCTGGGCCTGGGCAGCAGTGTGCTGGGTGTGCTCCGGGGGGTAGTCTGGGGAGGGTGGAGGGGCCTGGGTGGAGGCGTGCTCAGGGGTGAAGCCTGGGGAGTGGACCTTGGCCTGAGGGAGGTTGTGCTCAGGGGCATGAGCTGGGAAGCCGGTCTGGGCCTGGGGTGTGGTGTGCTCAGAGGTATGGGCTGGGGAAGGGGTCTGGGTCTGCATCTGGGCCTGGGAGGTGCTGTGCTCAGGGGTGTGGGCTGGGGACGGGGTGTGGGCCAGGGCCTGGGCCTGGGGGATGGAACGTTCGAGGGTGTGGGTTGGGAAGAGGGCCTGGGTCTGGATCTGGGTCTGCATCTGGGCCTGGGAGGTGCTGTGCTCAGGGGTGTGGGCTGGGGACGGGGTGTGGGCCAGGGCCTGGGCCTGGGGGATGGAACGTTCGAGGGTGTGGGTTGGGGAGGGGCTCTGGGTCTGGATCTGGGTCTGCATCTGGGTCTGCATCTGGGCCTGGGAGGTGCTGTGCTCAGGGGTGTGGGCTGGGGAGGGGGTGTGGGCCAGGGCCTGGACCTGGGGGATGGAACGTTCGAGGGTGTGGGCTGGGGAGTGCATCTGGGCCTGGGGGGGGGAATGTTCGGGGGTGCGGGCTGCGGAGCTGGTCTGGGCCGGGGCCGGGGCCTGGGCCGAGTGGTAGTCTGGGGTCTTGGTCTTGCTCTCAGGCCAGTGGAGGGGAACCACGTCCACCCTCCCGTTCCTGGGGAAGTGGGACGGCGTCTCGTGCCTGGAGAGGAAGGGTGCCCGGGCCTTTAAGGCTGTGACCTGAGGGGCCTCCCCAGCTCCCATCGCCCTTTCCTTCCACAGTCCCCACGGAGTGTCCACAGGAGCCCCGGCGTGTCCAGCCTGAGGCGGCATCCAGCAGCACCCGGAAGCCTTCTCACGTGTGTCCAGTCCCCAGGAGCTGGGGTGCTCAGAGCGCCCCAGCAGGAAGCGACGATGGTAGCGGGGGGAAGAGACTGTCGAGCACAGGTTCTTGGGGTCCGCGGAGCAGCGCACGCACGCAGGGTGGTTGTAGCCAGCTGGCTTGTCTGCGAGGGGGGGGAAAGCCGGATGGGACAAGGCCAGGCTTCCTGGGGGGGGGGAGGTGGGGGGGCAGGCCCACGTCCCCCTGAGGCCGTGCTGGGGCCCCCACTCACCTTTGGGGAAAAAGTGATGGAAAAGGATCCGCAAGGAGCTCTTCAAATGCCTCCAGAGCTGAGGACGCAGGGGAAGGGGGAGTCCGGAAGCACGGTGAGCCCCGAAGCCTAGCATCCCAGCTGCCCTCCCACCTCACCCCCGTAAGCCCTCAGCCCCACCTCTCACACACCCCCATCCCCCCGCCCCTGGTGCCAGGCCCCTGCCCTGACCAGAGTCACCACATTGATCCCCACGTTGAGCAAGATGAAGGTGCCCAGAATCAGGAGAATTGAGTCTCCGAGGTCCTGGCACTTCCTGGGGTTGGTGCCAGAGCACAGGGGAGCCCCGTGGTGGGCTCGCTCACCCATGGCCTGGGGTCCCAGGACTGCCCGGGCCCCCTGGCCCCCCGCATACTCACTAGGAGGCAGAAGCCCCTGTGGGGGAGGGGGAGAAGGACTGGGTCACAAAGGGGCAGGCGGCCAGGGTCACAATGAGGGAGGCGGAGGAAGTGGAGAGCCAGGGATGGTGTGCGCTGGGGGCCTCGCTCGGTCCCCTCGGCCCCCTCACTGCCCGCTGTCTCCCTCCGTCACACACACACACATTCCATCCCCTTCGCCGCCCCCCGAGCCGGACGACCTTGGCCTCAGAGCCCTGCAGAAGGCGCGGCTGGACCCCGGAGCCCCGGTGTTCTTCCTGCCCTTCGCCGGGCCCTGCCCCCACACGCAAAGCCCACGGCTCTGGACTCGGACCTCTGATCTCGCGTGGGGCCTCTGAGCCCGCTTTGGGATCAGGGTGACAGAGACCCAGCAGAGGTGCTCAGACACCAGTGGTGTGGAGTCTGAAGCTGCAGGGGGTCCTCAGCGCGTGGCGCGGGACCAGGGGACCTGCTGGGGGGTGGGGCGGCGGGCACAGCCAAGGGGGGACGCTGGCTTCTCGTGTCCGCCAACAGCAGGGCCCAGGGCTGGCAGGAGAACGGGCACGTCCAAGCCACAGAACAGCAGTGTTTCCTGGACTTTGTCGCTCTTTATTCCTCTCTCCGTGCCCCCCCCGCCCCCCCGCCCGCCTCGCAGGCCGCTGGTCAGTGGAGTTTCCCGGTCCGGCTCCGGTGCAGGGAGGGCTGCGAGGCCGAGGTGGAGGGGGGGGGCAGGGAGCTGGCCCGAGCTCTGTTCTCCTGCACCTGCCGCTTCAGCTCCAGGCTGTCGTACACCTGGTAGCTGCCCCCGCCCCCCGGGTTCCGGCTGAGCGGCATGAAGGCCGGCTGGGCGGGGGTCTGCTCGGAGCTCTGGACCTCGGCGCTGGGGTCCGGGGCCCGCTGGTGGGAGGCCTCGCCCAACACGGTGAGGGACGTGGTGGTCAGAGGGTGCCGGGCGGGCACCGGCTCCGTCCATTCCGCTGTCCGCCGCCGAGCCTCATGGGGGTCCCGGGCGCAGAAGCCCAAGTGGCCCGCGGATGGCTGGGGGCTGCGGCTGGGCTGGCCCGAAGTGTGGCCGGGGAGGCTCCGCCTGGGGGCCTGTGGAGAGTAGTGCTCCTGGGCCTCAGGCCTGGAGCCCCGAGGCACCGGGGCCGAAGGGGTCTCAGAACCCTCCAGACCGCGCCGCCGCTGATCCCAGGAGTCGTGGAGCAGTTGGGCCCCCGAGGGGTAAGAGCTGTGTCCCGCGGGGGCCCAGGAGGGATTGGGGGGCAGCCGGCGGGGGGGCGGTGGAGACGGCGTCCACTGCTCGGCCTCCAGATTGCCCCAGGTTCGGGACTGGAGCCCGTAGGACTGCAGCCTCAGCTCTGACTTGGCCTCCACGCGCTTCGGCACGCGGCGCAGCTCAGGGGACAGATAGAGAGAGGGCGGTGGCAGGCTGGCCAGGATCCCGCCCTGGCGGCCCCACAGCCCCAGGTTGGAGGGCAGGCCCGCTGGCTGGTAGAGCCCTCCCCATCCCCACAGCGGGAACTTGGGGTGCGGGAAGGACAGGTCATCCTCCTCCAGGCAGGAGTCGAGATTGTTTTCATTAAAGGAGGGCGCCCGCCGCAGCTGGGACATCTTGCGGCTGTGCCGGTGGCTACGGAAGACTGAGCGGTTGTGGGGGAAATGCCTGTGGCTCTTCAGTCTCCACTGGTGGCTGCAGAGGGGGCGATGGTGGCCTGGGGGCCGGCTGCGGCGGGGGCTCCCGTGGCGGCGGTGGCGGGGGCTGCAGAGACAGCGGTAAGAGGAAGAGTGGTGGCCGGGGGGCCGGGCCATCTTCACTTCTACAGGGTCCAGGGTGCAGTGGATGTGGACGTCTTGGGGCTTGGCCGGGGCCTCTTTGGGGGGACTCTCACAAGCCTGGCAGCTTCCATCTGGGGGCGCAAGAGTCGGGGACGACAGGGCGGATGTCAGGAGAGCTCGGGCTGGGAACGCTGCGGCCTGGGTTTCTGGGGCGGCGATGGTGGCCGTAGGGGGACGGTGACCCCTGCCTCTCTCGCCGCCATACTCACTTTTCAGATTAATCCAATGTATCATCTTGTCCAAGGCATTCTCGAGTCTGTGCCACATCTGGGGGGAAGGGGGGGTGGGAGTGAAGGCCAGCAGGCCAAGGGCACGCCCGCCCCCAGCCCTCTCCACCCCGGGGGGGGGGGTGGCCCACCGCCATGCCGTCACTGACCACAGTTACCACGTTGATCCCCACGTTGACTAGAATGACGAGTCCCAGCAGCAGGAAGAGTAAGTCCTCGGCGCCCTGGGGGGCTTCCTGGTAGTGACTGCAGGACCCCAGGCTGTCATAATAGAGCTGGTTTTCCATGGTGGGGGGGTCCTAGGACCACCCGGGCCACCGCCCCCCCCCCCCACCAGCCCCGACCACACTGTGCTCATGCCGGGACCTGGGGACACCTACCAGCTGGTGAGGGAGTTGGGTCACAATGAGGCGCATTGCGGGGCATCACAATACACGGCAGGTGGCTCTTTTATCCACTTGGCTTGGCCGTCAAGTGGCCGCCTCTGACCCTGGCTGCCACCTGATGGGAGTCCAGTTCCCCAGAGACCCCAGAGCTCCGTTTGTTTCTCTGTCTCCGTAGGGCTTTGCGTAAATCAGCACCGGATTCCCGATTTGCAAATATGGCGGCTCTGGTTGTATGTACGACAGTCTTCAGTGGGGACGGGATCACCCATAAAGGATTTCCTCCATTTCATTGTTCTTTTGGGACATTAAGGCAGCGTATGTAGCCTGAGGGGACTCTCCACCGGCGCCTACCTGGGGCCAGCGGCTCCGGTGACAGCAGGGTCCCCTCTGGGGTTGCCATTGGCCCTCCCTGTCCCACCAGTGGCCGCAGCCCTAGACGTTGGGGTCACCGGGCCCATTGACCCCTTGGCTTCAGAGCAAGACAGGCCTCCTCCCGCCTTGCTAGGGTCGCTCTGCCAGGGACCACCCCCAACCGCCGTGTCTCCCCTTTCTGACCAACTGCCCTCCCACCGCCGTGGGCTCCCAACTTAAGAAAAATCTCACGAAAGGCGCAAGGCACAATATAGATGTAATTCTGGATTACAGTATACATGTGACAAAAGGAGCCGCCTTTTAAACCAGGCTCAGCACTGGGGGTCCGTGGAAGTGGGGCCCTGGGGACCTCAGGTCACTTGTTTGCTTGAGGAGCAGCTCAGCAGAAATAAAAGCAAGAGCAGACGGGTGTTTCCCTTCCAGCCTCCAAACACCTAGTAGGCCCACAGCCGCTGAAGGGAGCCCGCTTTCAAACGAACCGAGCAGCAGGTGACTCACGAAGGGCCCGTCCATCCCCCCCTCCCGTGGCTCCCCTTCCCTCGGCTGCGGGCGTGTGCACGTGTATGTGGGCGCGTGTGCCCGTGAGCCCAAGTGTCTAGCAGTGGGGTCGGGCCTGGTATTCCCTGCTCTCTGTGGATGGAATATTCTGACGGGTTCACGCGGGAAGCTGAGGAGGCGGGGAGGTTCCGCTGGGCCAGGCTGACTCCGTGGTAATGAAATGTCCCCGCGGGAGTGCGGTGCCCGGAGCCTCCGACGGCTTGAGGTTGATCCTGGGTGTCTGTGTGACCGGGAATAAGTCCCTTAGCCTCTCTGAGCCTCGGTCTCCTCATTGGGACAGGCAGGCGCTAATCAGAGGAGCAAAGTCACAGAGGGCTGTGCCCTTATGATAAGGCAGCCCCTTGAGAATGTCCCCAAGATTTCATCCTCTGCTCCGAGCCTGCTCTGGGGTAGAAGAGCTTTGGGGTCCTGACCGGGACACTGAGGGCCTGGATCTCGCGGCCAGCCGGGCCCCCCTCAAAGACACCAGGCCGTCTGAGGGCTAGGGCCACGTGGATGGGGTCCCCCCGTGGGTGCAGGTCTGCCTGAGGCCCTGGGGCGGGATTTGGGGGGCTGCTCTGGGCACAAAGGGAAACAGGGGAGTGGCAGGCGGGCACCTCGGAATGAAGAAAGGCCTGGGAGAGAGCGGAGGGTCCTTAGGGTTCTGTTGCCAGGGAGACCATGGTCTTAGCGCCCAGGGCTTCTGGGTGCTGGGTGGGCCCTGGCACCCCGCACACCACCACGAAGCACCCCCTCTCTTCCTTTTATTTGTCTCCCGGTCACCTCTCTGTCAGGGAGTGGTACACCCAGTCCTTGCCCGCGCCCTCGGCGTCGCTGGACTTGGAGAGGAGGGGGTAGCAGTGTGACAGGGCCTCCACCTCGCGGGTCAGCTCCCGAAGCCGCCGCCTCACGTCACGGGCGTCATACAGCACGCGGCCCGAGGACGGGCGCCGGGGCACGTCGGGGACAATTGCTGGGCCCTGGGCAGGGGGCGGGGCTGCAGGGGCAGGGGGGCACTGCTCTGGCTCGGCCTGCGCCCCTGCGCTCGGCCCACAGTTGTCGTGGCTCAGCCCCTGAGGGCTGGGGGGTGGAGGGTTCACGGGGTACACGTAGGCCTCGAGGCCCAGCTCTGACCGCATCTCTGTTTTGAGGGGACTCCCCTCTACGGTCTGCTGGAAGCGGATGGCGTGGGGAAGGGGCTCCATGGCCTCCCGGGCCCAGGGAGCCCAGAGCCCCTGGGTGGACTGAAAGACTTCCCAGTCCTCGGGGTGACCCCAGTTGTGGGAGCACACTGCTGGGTGCCGACGCGGGGGCTTCTCGTCGTCGGTGTCGGGGGCCCAGGCTGCGGGGCGGTGGCCGCGGCGCCCTGAAGAGCCCCTGTGGCGATGGCGGCGAGTGGGCGGGGGGGTCACGGTCATTTTCACGGGGTCCATGGTGCACCGAAGGTGGACTGCGGGGGCGCTCTGTTTCGGAGGCTGGGTCGGCTTCTCAGGTGCGGATGACCTAGAAGCTTCTGTGGATGGAGGGGAGGCGAGGTGCTGGGGGGCGGGGGGAGGCCGGCTCCTCCAGGGACGGAGAGGTAGGCCGCAGGGGGAGAGGCTATGCCACGGTGGGGCCCGGGAGGGGACAGCCAGAGGGGAAGAGTCAGGCTCCGGGTCAGGGTCAGGGCTGGACACGCCCGGTTTCTGCCTCCCCTCTGCCCCCAGCGGCCCCCCTTACCTTTCTCATAAACAATATGGAACACCCGACGTAAGAAGTCGCGGAGTCTGCGCCAGAGCTGGGTGACGGAGGACACGGTGACCCCAGGCCGGCGCCCCGCCCCCACCCCCCGCCATCGCCCTCCGGCCCGGCCCGGCCCTGACCAGCGTCACCATGTTGACGGCGATGTTGACGCAGACGACGAGCCCCAGCAGAAGCAGGATGGAGTTGCCCAGGTCCTGGCAGTTGTTGCTCGAGCCGGCGTGTGAGGCCCAGCCGGGCCGTGGCCGCTCAGCCATGGCCATGGGGGTCCCTAGGGCCACCGGGGCCCCTAGACCCCCAGCCCACTGTGCCCCCAGTGTCCACCCACCCGCCTGCCTGTCCCAGAGGCTCCTGGGGGCGCGCGGGTCACAATGGCGCCGAGGCTCTCTCTCACAATGTGCCACAGGGGAGAACCTTGGGCTGGGGCGGGGGGACCCTTGCGCTAGGGCCCAGGCCTTGGCAGAGGCCAACCTCTCACCTTATGTTCCCGTCCCGCGGCCAGGCCCCCGGACCGGCCCACAAGCCCCCTGGCCTGTCCGCCGTCTACCCCTCCCCCCACTCCTTCTCTACACCAGGCTCAGGCCTCACCCACACCTGGGCCCTGAACAGAACCCCCCAACATCGCCGCTGCCATGGCGGCCTCACCCCAGCACCCTCTGCCCTCAGAGCCGGTCACTGAAATGGGCTGTGGGCTTGGAGGGCCCCCCCCCCCCCGCCAACGGGGGGCTTCCCGGAGGCTTCCTTCCTCCGGCCCCGGCCCCCATGAGAGCAGGCACAACCAACAGTTAAATTTTTATATTTACAATATTCTCTTCATCTTTTGCCAGGTTTAAAAATGTGTACAGAGCCGCGAAGGGTTGGGGCAGGGACATGGGACCGTCAGGGGGGGTGTTCTGGGGAGAGGGGCTGGGCATTGGAGTCCGTGGCTGAATCATGGGGTCCCCCGGCCCCCCTCCCGTGCCCCAGCTTGGGGGGGGCGTCTGCCTACAGGGTTCAGGGCCCAGGTCCCTAGCATTTAGAGGACGTGGCTGTTTGGACAAGAGCTAGACCAGGCAAGGGAACGGGTCAGAAAAGAACGACGTCTCCATGGGGGGAGGTCAGAGAAGGGACAGTCAGGAGGCCAGGGGCTCTGGACCTGGGTGTGGAAGACGGCACCCCACCCCCTACTCAAGTTTGGCACAAACCCACAAAATGCCAGCAGCCGCCTGCCGGCGTCCCTTAAAACCCTTCCTGACGACGCCCTTCTTCTCCCCAGAGGCCCGAGCCCTTTGTCCTTGGCCTTGGGCGCCTCCTTTCCGGGCAGTCACCTCACACGCGTCCTTCCGGCTCCCCCCGCCGCTGTCTGCCCAAGCCCCGTCCCCCACTGCCCCTCCATCTGTCCTCGGCACGGCTGACCTCATTCTCTCCCCAACCTGTCCCTGGAAGCCCTGAGCCCCTGCTCTCCCCCGCTCCGCCCTCCCCCGCTCCTTTCCTTCAGCCCTGGCCTGGCTGCGGGAAGGGGGGCCAGGTCAGAGAGGGGAAGGGCGGCTGCGGGGCGAAGGCGGTCTGACGCCGGGATGGGGCGGAGGGGTACACTGAGGCACGGAGGGAGGGAACGAGACACAGTGAAGAGCGGAGACACAGGCGGGGGACTCATAGCTGCCACTTCCCCTCCCCCCACCCCGTGTCCCCCCCCACCCCCGTCTCCACATTTACCTGCCCTGGCCCAGGACTGGGGAATCCTTGGCACATTTTGAGGGTCTTGCCCCCTATCCCTCAAACCCACCTACCCAGTTTGGCACGGATGAGCAATGGCCTGAGGACTGAGGGAAAGGCTGTCCCCAGACCCCAGTGAGGGCTTTGGTCAAACATGCATGGCCTCTGTGGGTGGCACGCCACGCCCCCCAACTTGGCATCTCTTGGGGGTGAGAGGGCAGAGCTCTGCCCCCAGGAGCTGTACATCCCCCCCCTCCCCGCCCCCCCCACCCAGCTTCTGCCCATGGGGAGTCTGTTCCCACCTGCCGGGTGGGGAGGAGCTAGGCCTTAGGCCTGGGGCAGGGGGAGGCCGGGAAGCGCCTGCGGGCGAGGGGCCGTCTGCATGGGAAAACACACACCCACATGCAAGAACACGTTTCCACCCGGAGAACCGTGTCCCGGACCCGTGGGAAAACTAGTTCCCGGGGAACACGGGGGTGCACGCATCTCTTCCCCTCCCCCTGGCGCCGAATCGAGCCTGTCAAGCCTAGCCGGAGGACGGGCCTCATCTGACATATGCCATGGGGGGTAAACATGCTTCGTGGGGCAGAGGGGGTGAGGGGCAGGGAGCCGGGGTGGGGGGGACTGTGATTTCCTCGCAACTTCCCAGGCACCACCCTGCTGTGTCCGTCCGGTGGCCAAGGATCAAGGATCACGGTGGTCCGTGAACACACCACTTCCAGGGTCTCCATGGGGTGGGGAAGGGGAGGAGGTGGGAGACGGCGTGAGGGAACAGGATCCTGGGGTACAAATCCCCGCAGAAATTCTTGGAGGGGGGCCAACATGTGTCCAGGGCGGCGAAAAAAAAACCTCACCCTGCACATGGGAAAACGCACCCCCTCGTGAGAAAGCACACCTCCGCGTGGGAAAATACTTCCCCGTTTCCGCACACCTAAGACCGGTGTCCCAGTGGAGGGGACAAAAAGCCCCCAGTTGTTCCAAGGCCCAGGTCCAGAGAAGAGGGCGGGCCCCCCGGCATCCTGGCGCGGAAACCCACGTCCACCTCCGGCTCCCCCGCGCGCGCGCAGGAAAAGCCTGTGCCGAGCGGGCCTCCCTGCCTCCTGAGCGACGCTGCCCGCCCGGCGGGGGGTGCGGGGTGGGGTCGGGGGCCGGCCGGGGAGGAGGAGGGCCTCCCCCCGCCGCCCCCTATACCCGAGTGGTGGAGTGGGGGTGCGGTAGCGTGTTGTTGTGGCTGGTCGCGGTGGGGGGCGGCGGCGGGAAGGGCCCGAAGGGGTGGAGGGAGGGGGGCGGCGGCGGCGGCGGGGGCCCCAGGCCGCTGGGCAGCAGGGTCAGGGCCCCGGGGGCCAGGAGAGGCACGTCGTCCGGCGCCCGGCGCAGGGCCAGGGTGTAGTCGGGCGGGCAGGCGGGGCGCAGGGCCTCGGCGGGGTCCGCCCCGACGCCGCCCGCGCGCTTCAGCTGCAGCGACACCAGCTCCTCCTCGGGCGGCAGCTCGCGGCCGGCGGCGGGCAGCAGGGGGCCCCCTCCGGGCGCGCCAGAGCCCGAGCCGCCCGGGGGGCTGAGCCGCCGGCACCGCAGCTCCTGCCGCCGGTCCCGCTTGTAGTAGAGCGCGGCGAAGGCCAGGATGTTGAGGAAGAGGAGCGAGGCGCCCACGGCCACCGTGACGCTGAGCTCCGTGGAGTAGTCTCGGGAGTCCCCGGGGAAGCGGTCGTAGGCCCGCGGCCCCGGCTCGGGCTCGGGCTCGGGCGGCAGGGTGGCGGGCGGCGGGGGCCGGCGGGTGCCGGGCGCGCCGGGCGGGGGGCGCGGCGGCCAGCGCGTGGCGTAGGGGGGCAGGCGCGTGGTGGTGGTGAAGAGCTCCGTGTGCAGGTTGTGCAGGTGCGGCACGAGCTCCAGCCAGAAGGCCACCTTGTTGGCGCGGTAGTTGTCGCGCACGCGCGGCTTCAGGCCGATGTGCAGGTACTGCTTCTCCTTGCTGTTGAACTTGCTCCACACCACCTCCTCGAAGCGGTTGGGCTTGGTGTGGATGAACTTGGTGTCCTGCGGCACCGGCTGGTTGGGGTCGCTGTGGGCACAGGAGGGCGGGGAGAGGGGGAGTGAGGGCGACGTCCGGAGGGCGCAGGGGTGGTGTGTGTGTGTGTGTGTGTGTGTGCGCGTGTGCGCGCACGCACGCTCGCATGGAAGGGAGACCCACAGAGATGCAGAGTGCAGGGGAGACGGAAGGAAAGCCAGAGAACACGACAGAGACAGAGGAGACAGAGGAACTGCCAGAGACAGAGACAGGCAGAGAGATAGCCAGTGAGAGGGGCAGAAGCTGAGACTGCGTGAGATAGACACAATCAGAGGGGTCCCTGGGGGGCTCCGTCGGTGAAGCGTCCGACTTCAGCTCAGGTCGTGATCTCACAGTTTGTGAGTTCAAGGCCCACGTAGGGCTCTGTGATGAATGTAGCTCAGAGCCTGGAGCCTGCTTCAGATTCTGTGTCTCCCTCTCTCTCTCTGCCCCTCCCCTGCTCGCGCTCTGTCTATAGCTCTCAAAAACAAATAAAAACGTTAGACACTGAGAGTCAAAGACACAGGAGAGAAACCAGCAAGCAAAAGGTAAACAGATGGAAAAGAGAAAGGGAGAGGCATCGGTGGATTTGCAGAGAGAGAGAGACAGATGCAGAGACAGTGAGAGATGGACAGACACAAATCCTTACACACGCTTAGATACACAGCCCAGAGCATCCGACCGAGAGCAGAATGTCCAGAGAGAGGGAGGAGGAGGGCGGGAGGGACAGACCCTGAGCCAAAGCCACCAAGCGAGCCCCCCCACCCCCTGAAGGACACGGCCCTCTCTGTCGGACCCCCGCGCACTCTCCAACACGCAGCTCGGTGCCTGGCACAGCGGAGGCGTCTGGCAGGTGCCTGGGTGGAGAAGGCAACGCTGTGCGGGGGGGGCGTGAGGGAGAGGGCGCTGAGGAGGGAGGGTCTGTGTGCCTGGGCCTGCAGGGGGCGCCCCACCCGGCCCCGCCGGCCCTCACCCAGTCTTGGCGAAGTTGGTCCAGTAGGTCATGACCACGGCGCTGAGCATGACGTCGTTCTTGGAGAAGTTGCAGGGGAAGAGGTCGGTGGCGCCCACCATGGGCACACCGAAGACGTAGGGGAGTTCATCCCCGTGCGCTGCGTCTGCCCACTCGGGCCGGCCCTCGGCCTGGCAGTGATGGTAGAAGGTATAAAAGTAGACCGGGGACTGGTAGTCGGCGTGCAGCTTGGCGGTGGCCACGGCCGGCGCCACCCACTGGTGGTCGGTAAAGAGCGCCAGCAGCGTCTTCCGGCGCATCTCGCCGTTGTCCCGGTCGGCCCAGTCCGTGTACATAAACTTGATGGTCTCCCGAAGCACATCCTTGCCCTCCGGGTAGCCGTACAGGTTGTCCACAAAGTTGGAGACGGTGAAGTCGAAGGCGCTGGCGGACACGCCGTCCTCGCTCTCCGCGGAGTCCTCTACGAACTTGAGGCCTTCTCCTTGGTTGACACCAATGAGCATGTCATAGTTGAGGAATTCTCCCTGCTGCATGAGGATCTCAGGGTCATCGGGGACGACGTCACCGTCCACCACGGGCCCGAAGGCGATGTGGTAGCTGGGGAGAAGGGGTCAGGGTCTCGTCACCTGCCCCCTGGCCTCCTCTCAGCCCATAGCCTGCTGAGCCCTGCGCTCACAAGTCCCTTCTCCCCAAGCCAACAATCTCCTGAGTCCTTCGGGGCCCTTGGCCGCTCGAGAAGCCGTCCCTGCAGCGCGTCACGGGACCGTGCGCACCCTCGCTCTGTTTGGGCCCCTCCGCTTGGGGGAGGCTCCCGAGAGAAGAAGGCAGGGCCCGTGGGGGGGGCCCGAAGCCCGCCTCTCCTTGCCTCCTCGAGGGGGGCGCCCCTCACCCTCCACCTCCTGGGAACCAGAGAGGAAAGCGAAGGCCTGGCCCCGGCCCTCTCCCACCCCCGTACCGGGCGGGCTGCACGTCCTGATCCACCAGCTCCCGAGAGGGCTTCCGGCGCAGACACTCCACGGCCTCGGCGCTGTCCTCACGGTCGCAGCCCACCTTGGCCGCCAGCAGCCGCGTGTACTTGAGCGGCTGGTAGTTGACGGACCAGCTGGAAATGGCAGTGCCGCTCTGGGCGATGGCCTTCTGGAACAGCCCTGGCGGGGACAGGCAGACCTCAGGCTGGGCTGTGTGGGCTCGGGGGGGGGGGGTGGGGGGGGGGGGGGGGGGCTCGGGGGGGGGGGGGGGGGGGGCGGGAGCATCTGAATGTGGGAAAGGGGACGGGAGGGGCAGGCCGAGGGGTGGCCGGTACCTTCCGAATGGTGAGAGAGGATCAGAAGGTTGACACAGGAGGCCCCTGCCCCAGATCCGAAGATGGTGATGCGCTCGGGGTCACCCCCAAAGTGGGCGATGTTTTCACTGAGCCAGCGCAGGGCCTGGATCTGGTCCAGGAGTCCATAGTTGCCTTTTGCAGCCTGGTCCCCGGTGCTGAGAAAACCTGGGGGGAGGGGAGGAAAGGGGCTTCCTGGGGGCTTCACAGCACCCCGGCCCCCTTTCCGGGCAGCTCAGCCTAGCCCAGAAGCCCTTCCGCTTCCACCGGGGTGAGAGAACACCGCCCGCCCCAGGGGCCCCCTCCCGGACTCCGGCCCCCGGCACTGGCTGTCCACCCTCACCGAGCACCCCAAGCCGGTAGTTGAGCGTGGCCACAATGACGTTGCCGTAGGCGGCCAGGACGGAGCCATCGAACATGTTGCCCGTGCCCTCCATGTAGGAGCCGCCGTGCAGAAACAGCATCACAGGCTTCTTCCCGGAGTCCCGGATATCTGTGTGGGGAGGGGGTGGGCGGTGGGCCGGGGTCGGGGGACAAGGACACAGTCAGACCTGAAGCAGCACCGCCCAGCTCTCGGGCCCGCTGGACCATCAGACGATCAGCCCGGAGCTCCGGGGACATGTCACTCCCATCCCTGGGGGGGCAAGACCGGATTCCCCTCCCCCCCTCCCCAGCTAGCCCTGGCCGGAGGTCCCCCCTCACCTCCTGCCAGCCTGCCCCACGGCGCTTCTCCCAATGCCAGACAGACCTTCCGAGAAGCCTACGAGGCCGGGGTGGGGGTGGAGGGGCCCTCCCCAGGGCATCTGCTGGATCCCGGGGACCCCCCAACCCACACACACAGCAAATCTCCTTCCCGCTCCTAGGAAGACCAGACTCCCAAAGCTGGCTCTGGCGCTAGGGATGCTGGGAGGGTCCTGGCCGCTCCTCGGACTCAGGCCTTGGGTCTCATGTCCACGTGGAAGCCTGGTCTGTGGGCGAGGGGGGTGCCAGCCTAGGGTCCCTGGGGGCTTGGTCTCCTCCCCGCCCTAATTCCTTTCTAGGTCACCTCCCCAGTTACCATGGCAACCCCCAGCCTAATTACTTTGCAAGAGGAGGCAGGGTGGGAAAGAGCTTGCTGGATGCGGCCAAGGTACAGCTCTGTAGTTTCAGAGCCCCCCCCCACCCCCCCACCAAACCGGCCTGACCCCGGGTCCTGCCCCGGACCTCCCTGTCGCCATGTCCCTAAAGGATCCCGCTAATCACTGCCACGTGTGGCAGGCCCTTGAGGCCCTGCAGACTACGCGGAGGAGAAAGATTCCAGAAGAGGGCGGGAGGCTGGGAGGGGCTGCCCAGTGGTCCCCAGGGCTATCTCGGGTACCCTCCCTTGCAGCCCCTCCATGGGGCAGCCACCGCACCAGGCTGGGGTCCCCCATGGCCCCACAGGCCTCCTCCTTGACACTTGCCGTGTCCCGACCAGCTGGGCCATTGGACAAGCCAGAGCCAGCCGGGCCTGGGCCTCTGCCCCCCTCCCTCCTGCTGGAAACTTTTCTCCCGCCACGAAGTCAGCCTGCAGGCCGTTAAGGAACTCCCCTCCCCCCCTGCGGACCGCTTTAGGCTTTAGGCCTCCGATCTCTCAGAACCTTCTCTGTCACCTCCCTCTGCCTGGTGGGCTCTGCCCTCTCTGCGCCCTCACCAAATCCGGGTCTTCCCCTTGCTCCTGACCCTCTGCTGGCCTTCCAGCCACATTCAGGCTGGAGTCCCCCCTCCCCGCAAGGCTCTCTCTCAAAGTCCTCAGTTCGCCCCCTCCTCCCCACCAGGCACCTCCACTCCCGGTGTGGGAGGAGGGGGGGGTCAGAAAGGGAAGGAGCAGGGAGGGGAGCTGGGGCAACAAGAATTCAAAACCAACAACAAAAAAACAAGATCAAGAAAGAAGAAAGAAAGAAAAAAACAACAACCAAAAAACAAGAAGCTCTCGGGGGGGCAGATTCGACAAGAAAAGAAAAAAAAAAAACCCAAAAACCAAAAACCAAAAAGATCCGTTTTTTTTTTTTTTTGGAAAAAAAGAAAAAAAAGAAAAAAGTTCTTTGCATTTTTTTTTCTTTTCAAAATTTTGTGGTGAAACTCCAAGATATTGGGCCCTGTTTTCAAAAATCGCCAAATTGTTTAATTTGCTTCCCATGTTTGCGTTTTCTGCGTCTGATAGGCTTTTTGGAAATCGTAGGTTTTTGGTTCTGACGTTTCAATTGTGCCATCGATTTGCCCACTTTAGATTTGTTTGTTTGTTTCCAATGTAGTTTCGCTCCAAATTAGCGTTGTTTTTTTTGTTTGTTTGCTTGTAACTTGTCACAAGCGTCAAACCAGCCCAAATTGCTATCAAATTCTACACATCCAATTCTTTGGGGTTTGGGTTTGGTTTGGTTTGGTTTGGTTTCTCTGACATTCCAATTGCTTTTTGCACTGAATAGGTTTGCCGTGTTTAGCTAGTGGGACCAACATTGTTCTTTGCGTTTACGGTTTTCGTAATTCTTGTTTCCAATTATTACGAATTTTTCTTTTCTTATCTTTTTCGTGTTTAGTGGGGACAACGGCTGAGGGGCCTGGAAGGCTGTAGGGGCATTTAGTTAGGGACAGGGCCGTGGGTGTCCTACTAATCAGCAACGACATGCAACGGGATGTTTAAATCTACCTGTGTCTGGCGGATTGAGCGTCGCCTCGTCACGTTTTTTTGTGAGCGGACCTAAGACCGGGAACACAAAACAGAGAAAAAAGGACAATTTTGTGGGGAAAGATGGGGGTTGGGGGGAGGTGGTGGATGGGGAGGGGAGGACAGAAAGCAGAAAAGGGGAGGGTGGGGGGCAGAAAAAATAAGCCAAAAAAAGCAAAATTTGGTTGCAAGAAAAAGAAACCAAGAAAAGAGAAAAACGTTTCTACAACCCGATTTTGTTCCCCTCCCCGGAAAAAGTCATGCCCCAAAGAAAAGGCTGGTTTGGGGGGGGGGGTGCGGGGGGCCTGAGTGGGCTGAGGCCTGTTTTAAAGACATATTGCCTTGGCTTGTCGAAGTGTTTGCTACTTGCTGGAAATGAAGCGGTGTTAGAGGTGGGGGGGAGGGGAGGGGAGGCCCACCCGGAGCCCGGGCCACGACCCACGCAGGCCCTCTTCAGGGCCCACGCGGCACCTGCCTGCCCCCCCAGACTGAGAGACAAGGGCTGCAGCAGAAAGGACAGATCTGGGGGCACAGCGTAGGAGGGGGTGCCCCCCCCCAGCTCACAGCCCCTGGAAGCCCTCAGCTGCCCGATAGAGGGCTGGGGGTAGGTCAGTTGGGCCACCTGCCCACCTGCCCAGCCTCTCCCCCCCCCAATAACCCCCCCCCCGCTAGCACACCTCTCCCCTCCGCACTCATGGGCCTGGCTTCTCACCCCACCTCCCCAGTGTGGGGCGAAGCAGGGAAAGGGGTCATCAGGTCTTGCCCTCCACTCCACCTCTTCCCTCTGCACGCCCCCCCCCCCAGCCTCCTCCCTTACCCAGACCTACTCTCCCCCACCCCGTCCAGATCAGTAAACTTCCCACCAGGGGGGCGTGAGCACCTCCCCCTCCCCCCACACTGCTCTAATGCCAGAGAGCGCCCCCTCCCCAATTTGGGGTTCAGTCCCCACATAGGGAACAGGAAACACAGTGCCCTGAACCAGGCTGATACGTAAGGTGCCGGCCAGGAGGTGCTGGGAGGCACAAAGTGTGCCCCGTGTCGAGGAAAGGCCCCGGACTGGGCTCAGGGTTCGCTTCCGGGCTTCTTTCAGACTGGGGAATCGGTCAGGGGAGAGCTGGCGCCCAGAAGTCAGAGGGGTCCCCCCCCCTCCCCCCAGGCTGATTGATTTCTCCTCATTGACATAAGGACCAGCATAGGGAAGGACGGGGCCGCAAGGCCCAAGCCAGTCTCTGGAAGGCACTGATGGCCCCATAGGGACCCATTAGGATCAGGGCCTGCTCGCTTCACCAGGAAGGGAAAGGGGATGGAGTCAGCTGGACGCGTGCGAGTGTGAGAATACCGCGGGGCTGCGCGTGGCCGCGTGAGAGCACGCCTGCCTGAGCCAACCTCTTTCTCCCAGGGCTGGTGTGAAGATTCAGTGAGGTCACCTGAATGTGTCAGGTCGTGATAAGCGATGGTTAAAAATACAGGAGGTGTGGGCATGGGGGGTGTGGGGGTGCAGGGGCGGACGGCCATGGCTGGGGAGTGCTGGGTGGATGTTTCACAGGAGGGGTGAGGACCTAGCCCGCCGAGGGGAACGCTGGGGTGCACAGTCTGCAGAAAGGCAGGGGCGGACTGGGGAGCCCCATGCGTGGAGGGCACGGAGATGGACAGTCTGTGTGGAGGTCCTGGGGTGAATGAATGGCTCGCAGGCCATTGTTAAGGGTAGGCTGTTGGGGTAGGTGACCCATGAGAGGGCAGGGGGGCGCGGGGTGGACGGCTCCCACGTGGAGGGGCCGCAGCACTGGGGAGGGTGTGTGGAACGCACTGGGGCAGACACTCTCTCGAGGTGCTTGGAGTCTGTGCAGGATCGCAGGAGACAAACACCGCGGGCACGGGTCACCAGGAACCATGGCTTCCACGGGAAGGGGAATCACCGTGTTAGGGTGGACGGCTGGTACAGAATGGGTTGGGAGAGAGGTGTCAGAGCGCCTGATGTGTAGGCAGGGTGGAGGGCTGTGGGGTGCGTTCTCACAACCTGAGTCACGATGCGGGTGGTCACTGGGGAAGGTTGGGGTGAACAACGCTTCGGAAGCGTAGACGGTGGCAGGGACTGTGGTGTGAATGGCCACGCGCAGAGTAACTCGGGGAAGCGCTCACTCCGTCACGTGATCTGTAGGTGGGGATGGTGGGGGGCACGAGTCTATGTGGGTGACGGGGTACACAATCTTGGAGAAGCGTCGGGGCGTGTGTGGCGGGAGGGCGCCGGGGATTGTGATGTGTGAGACGCTGGAGCGCACAGTCGTGTGCAGGTCGGCTGGGGACCCGCCCCCTGTGCTGAGTCGAGGAGGCTCCCGGGCCGCGGTGGCCCTTGGGCCCGTGATATGCGGGTACTGGGTGTGCACAGTGTAGACAGGGGGTGCCTGGGGATGGGGCCCATGTGCACGGTTGTTGGAAAATGACCGGCTGGGGTGCCATAGGAGTGGACGGCCTCTGTGGAGGTGTTGGGGTGCTCTGGAGTGGTGGTCAGGGTGTTCAGGGACATAGTGATGGGCGTCGTGATATGAGAATATCGCATGAGCACAGCTGGAAGGTGCCCGGACAGATGTGATGTGTGCCGAAGGCTGGCTCGTGGAGAACTTTCCGGGGCCGCGTGTTGGGGACTGTGGGCACTGCTGGGGGCCAAGGGCAGCCAGCTCCAGAGCTCCGAAAGATGCTCTGATTGGGGGTGGGGGGTGGATGCGCTGGATGTCAATGGAGGTGCCCTTGGCGAGGGGGGTCCCTGATCCTTCAGGGGTGCACAGGGGTCGGAGCTTTCTGAAGAGGAGGCGCTGAGCTCGGATGAGGCCCTCTGGATGCGCCATGGGAGGCGGCATGTGCCCACGCACGCCTGGAGGAAAGGAGTCTCTGTCCTGAGGTGCAGAAGTCACTAAAGTGGGTATTCCTCGGGGACGAGCCCAGGTCTGGAGGTGGGAGGTGGCACAGAGCTGCAGGGGGCGTCTAGGAGGGTAACGGGTCTTTCTGATGCCTGGGCACCCTCTGGCCGCACTGCGTGGACGGGGTCTCTAAGCCCGGCTGCGCTCTCTGTGGGCACAGAGAGCTTCCGGGGTGGCTGTGGGGTGCGCTCCTGGGACGCCCTGGGAGGGCGCTCAGAGCCTGCGGGGACACAGCGCCTCTCGTGGGCCCCCCGGCAAAGGCCAGCAGCTGCCGCTGCCCGGGGGTCGGTGCGCGCGCCTGTGGCCTGCGTCCGTGGGGTGCCCGGCCTGGTGCCCGCCCTTACCGTCCTCAGTGGGCACGTAGAGGTTCAGGTACAGGCAGTCCTCGCTCTGGTTCTGCACGTAGGTGGCGGCCGCCTCCAGGTTGTCGGTGAACCACACAGGCAGCATGATCGCGGGCAGCGCCCCATGCAGGTTCTGCGGGCAGGCGGGCGGCAGCGTGGTGGCGTTGCGAACGCCGGGCCACGAGGCAGGGGCCTCGGGCGGCTGGAAGCGGCGAGCGCCCAGGGGTGGCGTGGCGTAGGGGACGCCCAAAAACTGCACGACGGGGCCCAGGATCTCGTTGTTGAGCTCACGGCGCACGCCGCGCACTCGCCCGTAGGCCGTGTTCACCACCGGGAAGCGCTCCTCCCCGAGGCTGCTGGGGCCCAGGCCCGGGCCGCCTGGGGAGCCGCCGCCGGGACCCCCTCCCCCCCGTTGAGCCCCTGCCAGCCCCACCAGACACAGCGCCAGGAGCCACATGCTGATCGGGGGACCCCCCCTCCCTCCCCGGGACCCCCCCCCTCGGAGAGAGAGAGAAGGGGGGGGAGAGGGAGGGAGGCCCCCCTCGCCCCAGGAGGGGGGAAGGGGGCGGGGGAAAGGAGGGAGGAGGGGGTGGGGAGGGACCTGGGTTAGACTGGACAGAGAAGGGGTCTGTTCCTCTCCATGGAGGGGGCGAGGGGTGGGGAAGGGGAAAGAAATGGGAGAAGGTGAAGGCAGGCCCGACCTGCAGGGGAGAAGGGACGTCGTATGCAAGAGACAGAAAGACAGACAGACAGACGGTCGGACAGACAGACAGAACAATACAGAGAAGCGGAAGAAGGGAAGGGGAATTGGACAGGGCAGACAGAAGGGAACGGGGAAACAAGAGACAAGTGGTTAGTGACTTGGAATTCACACCAAGTTGCCGCCTTCTTCCACCCTCAGGCCCCCTACCGCCTCCCCCTTCCCCCCCCCCAGCAACCCCCAACCCCAAAGCAGGGACCCAGATAGTAAAGTCGAAGGCTAGGGGTAGGGTCAAGATGCGGCACAGGTCCAGGATGGAGCCAGCGGAGACAGAGGCCAGCTCCCCAGAACCAGCCTGCCCCCCACCCTTCATTCGGCTGTTCTCCCCCCCCCCCAGCCCCAGGGGAAGGCTCTCAGGGAGACTCAGGAGTCCCAGTTCCCACCTCCCTGGGAGGGATAAGATAGACAAGGAAGAGAAAATAAAAATACCAAGTCATTAATTAGCAGGAAGTGGCGGGTTTGTTTATACGTGTTAATTACTCCTCGGCTGTAATTTCCAGGCACTGAACCCCCACCCCAGGCCAGGCTCGGGCCTTTCTTGGGACCACACGAGCCTGGCACCTTTTCCTTCCTTCCACAGCCCATTCCCTAAGGATCTGTGCGGCAGGGGGTACCCCTTTCCCCTAGGCATTCCTTGTTTCTTCCATCAGAACTTCAGGTGCCTTGAGGCAGGGCCTAGAGTAGGCAGGGGACGCTGGAGGGGCAGATCCGGGGACAGATGCGTGATCCTGCAGCCGGTTGCCGGGCGACGGGATGCTGCCCCGCAATGTTACCTCGGCAACCGGCTGCAGCTTTAACCCTAGAGGGGGGTCTGGAGGAAGAGGGGAAGGGGCTGGCTTGGTGGTGGGGTACATTCAGGGCATGAGGGCAGAGGCGGGAGTCAGAATGCCCGAGTTTTCCCCAACCTTAGCACAGAGAAAGAAGTGTATCTGTTGAGGGGAGCGGGAGATTGGGGCACAGAGAACCCTAAAAGATCCGCCTCTTGCCCCTTGCTGGCCAATCAGAGCCTAGCCCTAGTGACCAGGCCTCTGGCTGGGGAGAAGGGGTGCTGGGGTGGGTTTGGAGGGCATCAGATGCGTCCACCGACTGCCCCCCTCCCACAGTCTCCCACAGCCTTGAACCCCAGATGCCTCTTCCACGCATGGCATTTTGACCCACGTCCTGGGGGCAAACCTCGGCTGTCTTCTCACCCCGTCTCAGCTATTGACGCCCCCTTCCCCTTGCCAGCCCCCCACAGTGGCCGCTCTGATGCCTGGATGCTCAGGACAGCAGTGACAGGACAAGAGACAAGATCAGACTGAAGGGGCAGACACCCAGGTCATTCCAGCAAGCGCCCCCTGTCCCCCCCCCCCAACAGCCGCCAGAGCTGTTTGCTGACGCGGGGTTTTCGGAGCCAGGCGCCAGCCCGCGGGTGGCTCTCTGCAGGTGTCAATTTATTCCAGAGCTGAGGACACAGGAGTCCTTACCACACACACCCAGTCGTGCCCTCCCCCTCTTCGGGTCCCCTTAAGCTCCTGCTCCCCCATCACCAGGAGGGGGCCTGGGGCTGGCTTCCTCAGGATCTCCTCTGTCCAAGCCAAGCTGGGCTCTGCTTCCGTGGCCCGGCCTCCCCCTCCCCCTCCTACTAACATGGTCTGCCCCTCCCCCCCCCCCCCGCCCTTTAAGGTACTTTGGGCCCCTGGCCTCCTCTCTGCCAGCTTCTCTGCCTTCCCTCCCCTCATCCCTCTCCTCTCCATAACGTTCCCTCAGCATCTTTCCCGGCCTCCTCGCTTCTTCTGCTTCCAGTCTTTCTCCATCATCTCCCTCCTCGCGTCTCATCTTTCTCTCTCCTTCAAACCTCTTCCCCAAATTTCTCCCTCAAGCCCCTTCTCTCTCTCTCTCTCTCTCCCCTCTCTCCCTATCTCTGTCTCCCCCATTTTCTCTCCCCATCTCTGTCTGCCACATCTTTCTCCCCCTCCTTCTCCCCATCGCTCTGCCTTGCTCTCTCCGTTCCTGCCCAGGCCTGACTCCCCCAGCCGGGGGGGAGAATTGAGGGAGGGGGGCTCAGGCCGCAGGCCCCCCCCTCTTCCTGCAGTGGGGAAAATGGCTTGGCCGGGAAGGGGAGAAGGAGGGGGAGGGGGAGATGGGAACACACGGGGTCTGTGGGCCCATTCAAAGGATCATTCATGGACTGGAGAGAGGCAGAGACAAAGAGACCGAGACGCAGAGACACGGCGAGAGCATCCCTAGGCGGAGACACGCAGACAGAGCAGGCTGGGGGGAAACCAGGCGCAGGGAGAGAGACGGGGGGAAAGGAGACCCCAGTGGACCGCCATGCACCCCCCCCCTCCACCCGGCCCGGCTTAGCTCCTACCTGGCTCAGCCCTGGGGCCGTGGTGCCTCCATCCAGGGCTCCGCGTAGGGGGCGGATGGGCTTCAGGAGGGGGGCGGCGGCCTCTGAGCCCCCGCGGCCCCGCAGGCCCAGCCCCCGCCCGCAGCGCCTCACCGGGCGGGGGAGGGGGATCGCCCCAGCCCCGGGGGGCGGGGCCGGGATCCAGTCGATCCCCGGGGAAAGGAGAGGTAGGGGATGGGGTCAGGAGGAACCCGAGAACAGGGAACCCCGCAGTGGGGCCGGCGGAGCGAAGAGGGGGCAACGAGACAGGACTGGATTGGGGATCCACTGGCTCCGCGGGCCGGCTTCGAGGGACCAGAAGGTGGTACAGGCGGAAGATCCTAAGGGATCGGGTGCGGGAGGAGGTGTCCACGGCAATCCCCAGGGGCCCGGAGCCCGGGAGCGCAGGATCCGCGGTGCAGAGGCAGGGATCCAGCCGGAATCCTCGGGGAGGGGGAGGGATCTAGTCGATCCCGAGGGCGGGCGGGAGGGGGAGGTCCAGGGAGTCAGAGGAGGGCGGGAGCCCGGTCTGGAGCCCCGGGGTGGGGGTCGGCAGGGCTCCTAGGAGGGGAAGCGGGGGGGGAAGGGGGGGGCTTCGGGAGACGCTCAGCAGCCAGGAGGCCCGGACTCCTGGCTCCGCGCGCCAGGGCCCGCCCGCCCCGCGTCCATCCCAGCCCGAGAGTGATGATCCGCCGGCGGAGCAGCCGCAGCAGCCCCGCGCGTCACCGCGCGGCCGCCTCCCCCGCCCCCTGCGGAGAGAGCGGCGCACACCCCTCGCTCGCACCCGCCTGCCCGCCCGCCCGCCCTCCAGAGTGTGGGGGGATTGGAGACGGTGGAAGGGGGCGGGAGCGGACAGACCGACGGATAGACGAGGCGGGCCGGGGCCGGGTGGAGACATTGCCCCCACCGGGTCTCCCACCCTCCGGGCTCCCGCGGTTCGTGGGTTGGGGGCGCGCGGGGCGGGGGGGGAGGGGAGGGTGAACTGTGGGGGGCGGGGCATCATACGAAGGAGGCGGGGCCTTGGATCCATGGGAGGGGCCGTCTCGACAGTGGGCGGGGTTTTCAACGACGGTGGGTGGGGCTTGGTTACCCGAGTGGCCGCCTCTTTTGGGAGTGGGTCTGGTTTAAAACTGAAAGGGAGGAGCCAGTGGGGAAAGGGGCGGAACTTCGCGTGGGGACCGGGATCTTTGGAAATTGGCCGGAGGTGGGGGGGGTAGGCATCAGAAGGAGCGATCAACTTTGAAAGTGGGCCAATCCGTGACGCAAATCCTCTAGTCCCGCCTCCGCACCCCGCCCCTCACTGCTCCGCTCCTCCGCCCCTGATTGGCTCTTGGTTCTCCGCCCGCCAGACGGCTTCGCCACTCAGCAGAGGTTTTACAAAGGCGAAAGTACCCGGGTGAGGACCTGGACGCTGGAATGAACACGGCCCGGATTGGGCACCTTTGGACATTATTTGCATGGGGGATCGGGATTGGCTGGCCTCTTGGGTGGCCCGGGCGGGGTTCGTCCCGCGCGTGACCATCCACTGCCATGGCCGGGCCGGGGGCTGCTTTCCGCCGCTTGGGCGCCTTGTCCGGAGCTGCGGCCTTGGGCTTGGCCACCTACGGGGCGCACGGTCAGGGGGCTGGGCCCGACCTTCGGGGTCTGCTGCAGGGGCTGGGTCTATGGGAAGCGCCAGGGCTCCCCTCGACCGGACATCCCTCGGAGCCCTAAACCTTTTAAGGCTCCTCTGCCTGGTCCAGTTGGGTCCCCAGAAGCGCCCATTCCCATTTCCACCAATGAGACGCCTCCTGGGGGCACCCACGTGTGCCCTGCCGGGAGTCGGGGCGGTGGAGACAGGCGCTCGGACTGGTAACCTTTGCCTCTTCTTCCACAGGCGCCCAGTTTCCGGATCCCTACGGAAAGGAGGTGAAGCGACTTGGGGCCTCCCAGCTTCCGGGTCTAGGAGCGCCCAAAGTCTGGGGTCGCTGAGGGTAGTAGGGGCGGGGCGGAGCACCGAGAGAGGCGAGCACATGTGGGTGCTAGTGGGAGAGGCGAGCCGGGACTTTCGCTGGGGGACGAACTTTTGTCCCACGTGCCCCCACGGGATGCAGTCTCCAGCGTTGCTCAGGAAGTGTCTCTCCCGCCCCCCGCCCCCCATTTCTCTTTTTCTTACAGCTCTTCGATAAGGCCAACAAACACCACTTCTTCCACAGCCTGGCTCTGTTAGGGGTGCCCCATTGCAGAAAGCCCCTCTGGGTAATCCCGCCCCCGTGCCCAGCCCTGACCGCGCCCCACCAGCTCCCTCTCTATCTGCCCTGTTCTTAGTGGCCTGTATTCTTCTTTGTATCTCCTTCAGGCCGGGTTACTGCTAGCCTCTGGAACCACCTTATTCTGCACCAGCTTTTACTACCAGGCTCTGAGTGGAGACCCCAGCGTCCAGACTTTGGCCCCCATGGGAGGGAGTCTCTTAATCTTGGGCTGGCTTGCCTTGGCCCTTTGAGCTTCCTTGTCTTTGATTGCCGGGTACTTGTTTGAGAGTTGGAGCAGGGAGAGAATTAAAAGAGAAAGGCAAATAAAGAACTTGAGTCTTTGTTCATCTAACCTCTCGGGGAAAGAAGGGTTAAGCATTGTCCACCCCTGGACCCCCATCCCCTTTCCTAAGGCTGAATCTCGGGCCTGGGGATTCTGTGCACTTGAACCTCGTTATAACGTTCTGAAGCTGGCAGGCATCAGAGTCATAAAGAATGGTCAAAATACTGCAGAATCTTATGGAAGCGTTCTTTGGGTCCTGGTCATCGCGTAGTTCTGGTGCTCACTAGAATTTGAAGATTACTGTAGGGTAGAGTTTTCAGGCCTGCCGGACCACACATTTATTGAGCAGTCACTCTAGAAGTCAGAAGAGTTAAGGCTAAGCAGCAAGGGAGTAGTGCCATTAGTTATAAAATTGTTTGGGCTCAACGCAGGGACAGATCATCATGTATGGGGAGGCCAGAAGGTGCTTCACAGTGCTTGAGATGATCCTTAAATGAGCTGCGTTGCGGGGGCACCTGGGGTCTCAATCCGTTAAGCATCCAACTCTTGATCTCAGCTCAGGCCATGATCTCATAGTTTGTGGGATGGAGCCCTGCGTCGGGCTCTGTACGGACAGCACAGAGCCGGCTTGAGATTCTCTCCCTGTCTCTCTCTCTCTGCTGCTCCCCTGCTCACTTGCACGCACTCTCTCTTTCTGTCTCTCAAAAATAAATGAACTTAGGGGCGCCTGGGTGGCCCAGTCGGTTAAGCGTCTGACTTCCGCTCAGGTTGTGATCTTGCAGTCTGTGAGTTCAAGCCCCATGTCTGGCTCTATGCTGACATCTCAGAGCCTGGATCCTGCTTTGGATTCTGTGTCTCCCTCTCTCTTTCTCCCTCTCTCTCAAATAAATAAACATTAAAAAAAAATTTTTTTTTAATAAATTTAAAATGAAGAGCTCTGTTGTTGAGGACACCATGAACAGAGACAGAGGTGGAGAAGGGGGAAGTGTGGGGCTCCACCATCTTCTGTGTGGGCCGAGTTTTTGAGTGAGGCAGGAAAGGAGCCCCAAGACGGGGAGTAACACCCACAGGGCGTGGAGGACTGGAAGACGTGGAGGGGGCGGTGCTGATGAAGCCAGTGCGCATCACGTGTTGATGCGTGTGTCACACGTTACGATGAAATTCACCTGTAAACAGTCAGACGCCCTCCTGCCCTCACCTGTAAACAATCAGACGCCCTCCTGCCCTGTGGCGTTTCCCATCCAAGTAGCAGAAATGGGCTTTAACAGCTCAGCGTACAAATGTATGGTTGTGAGTCATGCTCTGTACTTGCAGAGAAGGGGCAGGGAGGTGGTGAGACCGTAGGGTAGTGGAGGGTGTGCCCTCCTCAGATGGGAAGGCCTCACAGAGGAGGTCCCATTGAAGGTGGAGCTAACCGAGTACAGAGTTGGAGGGAAAGTGTATCCTAGGCAGAAAGACTAGCTGGCAAAACGGGCTCGAAGGGAGCAGCTCAAAATCCTTGAGGCAGGAGAAAATCGTGGGGGGGGTGGAGGGGTGGAGAAAGAGCAAAACTGGTGTGGCTGATGGGTAGTGATGAGGGGCTCCAGGGGCTCAGTGCAGGCCTTGCAGGGAGTGGTAAAGCACCTGGAATTTATCCGTAGAGCAACAGTGAGGAGGGGCAGAGAAAGAGGGAATCCCGACTTGGGGCTCGAACTCGTGAAACCGTGAGATCATGACTTGAGCCAAAACCAAGAGTTGGATGCTTAACCTGCTGAGCCACCCAGGTGCCCATGATTTATACATTTAAAAGATCTGGAGAGGCCATGGGAGGAAGGCAGGGATGGCCACAGGCCAGTCAGGAAGCCCAGGGATGAGATGATGGTGGTGGCTTGGCTTAGGGTGGAAGAGGTGGCGGAAAGGGTCCAATTCAGAATATATTTTGCAGGTCGTACTGATAGGACCTGCTGATGGATGGGATATAAGGGTTAAATGAGCGGGAGACTTCCGGTTGGCACACTAGTGGCTGGAGGTGCTGTTACTCAGATGAGAAAAACTGAAGGAGGGGGAAGCGGTTAGTTTGGGACAAGTTGCTTCTGAAATGCCTGGGACACATGCAGGCAGGTAGTTGGGGAGCTCGGGGAAGTGTGTGCGCTTGGGAAAGCGATCTGAACTCCCGTTTACTCGGCACCCCTCTTCTAGCCGGTCTTCGGTCCCCTCTCTTGCCCACAAACGCCCTTGGAAGAGTCTGTTGATCACTTGGAGGTCATGGTTGCCTGATCCAATGGATGACTTTCTTTTCTTTTTTTATTTTTATTTTTATTTTTTTTTAATATTTTTATTTTATTTCTAGGAGAGAGAGAGACAGCATGAGCAGGGGAGGGTCAGAGAGAGAGGGAGAAACAGACTCTGAAAAAGGCTCCAGGCTCAGAGCTGGCAGTCAGCACAGAGCCCGACGTGGGGCTCGAACCCACGAACCGCGAGATCATGACCTAAGCGAAAGTCGGACACTTAACCGACTAAGCCACCCAGGCGCCCCTCTTTTCTTTTTTTAAAGTAGGCTCCACGCTGGGCATGGAGCCCAACAGGGGGCTTGAATGCATGACCCCAAGATCAAGACCTGAGCTGAAATCAAGAGGCGGACCCCAATCGACTGAGCCATCCCGGCACACACACCCCCTTTCTTAAAGTAGGCTCCATGCTCAATGTGGGGCTTGAACTCACAACCCTGAGATCAAGCATCACGTGCTGTACCAACTGAGCCAGCCTGGCGCCCACAATGGATGGCTTAACAATCTTGTCTTCAGCCTCTGCAGCATTTGACAGTTGGCCACGCTGTCCTTGAAAACACATGCTGTTGCTTCTAGAACACCCCTCCTGGTCTTTCCCTCTCCCTGTGGCTGCCTGGCCGGTTTCTCCTTCTCTGCCTACTTTAAATCAATGGTTTTCAAATTTTAATGAAAAGAGAACTCCTATGCATGCAAATATTTTTTAATTCTTTTTTATGTTTATTTTTTGAGAGAGAGAGACTGAGTGTGAGCGGGGGAGGGGCAGAGAGAGAGAGAGAGAGAGAGAGAGGGAGACCCAGAATCTGAAGCAGGTTCCAGGCTCCGAGCTGTCAGCACAGAGCCCGATGCGGGGCTCAAACCCGTGAACCGTGAGATCGTGACCTGAGCCGAAGTTGGACTCACAACCAACTGAGCCACGCAGGCATCTCTATGTACACAAATTTTAACTTCAGCCTTTTTACTTTCCATTTTCGTGTATGATTCATAAAGTGCGTATTTGTGTGGTATATCGGAGGTGAGTGCTTACTTTTTCCGCAAAGTGTGCATTCAAAAAAGTACGGACCGTTTCTCTAAATGAGAGGGATATTAGGTGATCTCTTTCAGCCCCCGTCTTTTTTTTTTTTTTTTAATTATTTATTTCTGAGAGAGAGAGAGAGAGAGATACAGAATCTGAAACAGGCTCCAGGCTCTGAGCTAGCTGTCAGCACAGAGCCCGATGCGGGGCTCGAACGCACAAACCGCGAGATCATGACCTGAGCCGAAGTCGGACGCTTAACCAACTGAGCCACCCAGGCGCCCCTCAGCCCCCTGTCTTTAATTACGCTCTGTATACTTTTAAACGTAGAGTTTTTGCCCACCCCCCCACCGCCCCCAACTAGTTCTTACTGAGTTCCAGAGTTCTGGAGCAGCTGCTGTGTGCCAGAATGTTCGGCAGGGACCTTGAAGGAGTTTGATGATACTGACGGGGAGGGGTGTGTTCCAGACCTGAAGCAAGAGCTTTCCAGGCAGCTCTGAAGCCAGAGAGAACCCAGGGCATTTGAGACCTCAAAAAATTCCTGGTGGCTGGCTTGAAGACCATGAGAGGGTCATGGGGAAAGATGGCGGAACGCAGGGTTCAAATGGTGGAGGGCCTCAGACTCTCTTTTGAGGGCAATGGGGAGCCTCTGAAGCATTTATATCCAGGGAGGAGGCATGATTTGAGGTGTATTAGTGGAAGATCACAATATTTCCTCAGTTTTGTGATGACTGAACTACAGCCTCAGAGGGAACCTCCAGGTGGGGGAGACCCCGACATCTAGAATGGCCAGCCTCCATGGAATTTGAGCCCTTAGCTCGGACCCCGCCAGGGAGCGGGGCTCTCGAGGGCCCAGGGTAAATAAGGCTTGATCATCGGTCCCTATTTTTACTGTGCACTGTGTCCAATCTTCTCAACAGCCCTGCAAGGCAGTGGGAAGTAAAGCTCACAGAGGTGAAGTAACTTGTTCTGTATCATACTTGGGACCAGAATGAGCTGGGATTCAAACTCTCCTCTGTCCAATTCCCAGAGCTATGCTCTCTCCTTCCTGTGCACGCCAAGAAACTCCGGTCTTCGGCAGTGAAAACAGACCCTTTCAAAAAATAATTTTCAGGGTTACGATGTCGATACCAAGGTGAGCTCCTTTTGTTTTTGAAGCCTGGCACAGACTTCTGTCCAGCTGCTGGCTTTTAGCACGACTAGTTGACCAGAAGACAAGGGACACATCCTACTTGTAACAAGTCAGGAGGGAGAGCAGAAGTGTCTGGAGCTCAGGATGGAGTGGGGAGACAGGAAATGACCAAACAGGAAGAGCAGAGCCCACTGGGAACGGCCTTCTGGGCCAAACCTGAGTCAACCTTGCCCTTTTCCTCATGTCCTGTATCCAAGCCATTATCAAGTCAATGCGTAATTGGCTAGATGCAGAATCTGACCATTTCCCACCACCTCCATTGCTACCCTCGGGCCTCTGGTCCAAGTCACCATCATGTCCCCCCCTAGCTTTTTTGCAAGAATGTCCTTCTGCCCTTGCCTGCCTACAGCCTACTCTAGACAAAGCAGCCTGCGAGAGAGAGAGAGAGAGAGAGAGAGAGAGACCCTGTAACACAGTGGTCTTCAGCTTTACCTGCACATTAAAGTCTTCAGGGGAATTCTCAGAAAGTTCTAATATCTGCACCTTACCGCAGATATTCTAATTAAATTATTGATACAACATAGGGCCCACGTAGTGGTATTTTGTAAAGCACCCAGATGATTCGATCGTGTGGCCCGAGCTGAGGAGCAGTAGTCTAACGTCTCTGCCCAATGCTGACACACTTCCTGTCCCAGAGTACAATCCGATGGCCTGCAAGGCTGTATGTGATCTGGGCTCCTGGGACCTCTATTCCTTCTCCCTGGTTCATTCCATTCCAGCCACACCAGAAAGGCGGGCCTTTGACTTTCTTGTT